TTCGTGATCCTTTGCGACAGAATAGGCAGAGAAAAAAGACGCTGACATATACCCGATTATAACTTATAATAGTTAAACGTAATAAGTTACACCCAATTAAAGCGGGAGCCCCAGGAATTGCGTCGCCTACTGCGACCGCATTGGTTGCAGTTTGCATAGGCAAGCACTGAATGCAGACATACATATAGAATAGAAATTAATGTAAGAGCTGCCCCTATAGTTATTAATCAAAGACGTGTCCACATTTTCCAGAACAAAAACAGAATTCGCGCGTAATTCAAGATTGGCTCTTTGCCTTTGCTCTATAAATGGCGTTCAATTAGCTGGTGTATCAATCACTGCAGATAGATTAAAAGTTCATGAACGTGACTCGAGAGTTTGGCATTATTATTGCAATGGTTACGTTTTCTAATAGTTTCAGGAAATGAGTAAACTTAGGTTAAGACTTGGGAACTGAGAGTAAACAATTTCTTTCCACAAAATACCGTACGTGGAAAGAGATTATTTTATTCTCATTCATCACTTTAATACTATCTCGTTTAAGCATCCTTGTGGCAGCCACCACACACGGATCCGAATTAGAAAGTAAACAAGAAGAAAGGCCGTTCAATACACGGTACCTTGGAACTTGGAACTAATAGACACTTGCCAAATCACATTGTTGGTTGAAGATATCCTTACAAAAGATTCTGAATATATATTTAGACGTTTAGAAGAAATAGCGGTTCGGTCCGAGTTAAGTTTGGTCAGAAGAAAACAAAACGTTAGGCCGAAGTTTCGAATCTATTTTCGCAAAATAACGGGAAGTACGCGGTATTTGTTATTCGAGACTATCTCCGTCAAGTATCACAGTGGTAACCCTTACATATGGATCTGATGTAGGAAGGACACAAGGTAAAAGGAAAGTAGAATGTGTGTGTTGTCCACGGGTATCAGCAGATGCAATTAAGTGACAGTGTCATGAGCGCCAATAATATTTTCTGTTTTATAGTTTTTTTCATCATGTTACATCCGAATGGGTAGTTCACCTCAGTCCTTATCTTTTCATTCATTAAAAACTGCAAACTAAACCAATGGTCCCAACCCGCCCCGTTCCTCAAACCGTATTTTTTTGCCAGGTTGCGAGAAACTATGTTGGTTTGCTATTTTGTACCAGTGTAGTCGCTTGATTATTGAATATACATAACAAAATTGCTTTATTTGGCGATTGGCCCTTAATTAGATGTTTGGCAAGTATGGTATCAACAAGTATGCCAGTCAGTGTTTTGGCCTAGTAATCACAGTTTAGGTTTCTATCTGTTGCGAAAGCACTTTGGTATTTCGCGCACGTGTCTGAAATCTTTGAGTAGTCTACGTGTTTTTGTCCACATCGCCTTAAAAAAATAGAAGTGAACACTTTCGTATTGAAATATTTACCTTGGTCAACGTTTCATACATAATTTCGTAGCGTTCTAGTCAGCCAAACACAAAACCGCAATAAATTCTAGCATAATAAAAGGCACTTGATAAGATGTGACATCTTTCCTTTTTTTCGTATATTTTACTTACATGCTCTGTTTTACTTCCGAAATAATAATGGAGAAATTAAAATATGTTAACATTGAACTAAGTATGCAAAAGACGCTGCTGAAATATATCAAATGGGATTTTAAATTCATATTTATTTAGAAGCAATCTTACTATTTCCGAAGTATCGTACGTTTCCTTACAATCTATCACGTTTTATTCGTTAAAAAATCCGTCTATGTTTCGCCAGGGAACCGTTATAATTCTGATATCAGAGATTTTTACACCATGGTTTACATACGATGCTTTCTGAGGATTCCCCGTTTTTTCCGGCGCATTGCCTGGCTCGCCCAGATATTTTGGGCCAATGTTGACAGTCCACGTTCACTTGCAGTCGATACACGGGTTCCCGTTGAGATTATTGAACTGAGTACACAGATTTTTTAAGTTGCTGAACGTTTCTGGCTGTGGGGTCACGAGTATCTGTAGTCTTTGAATTTATGAAAATTTGAGTCGCGAAAAAAAAATTTCAGAACCACTGCTCTTGGGGTCACAGGTGAAGTTACCAAGTTAGTTACCATTCGCGATGACAACATTAATAATTTAAAGTTAATTTACTGTTTATTTGTTTTAATTTTTCGACTGTAATGGTGTTCACTTTTTATCATCAAATATGGCGAATAAAATAACGGATGAAATCGCGTTAAAAGCATTGGGCCACAAATGATGAGTCTTGGGGAGACGGTTAATAAAAAGGGGGTTATGTTAGAAGCTAAAATATTTTTGAACGGCAGGAATCTTAGAGGTTCGGCATTGCCCACTAAATTCGATTCTATTTTGTCATTGAGTCGCTCGTCCTGAAGGGAAACGAAATTCTGTTTTTGCTGGTAAATAGATTGTTTACTGAATTTGTAGAGCAAAGCTGAACGACGGCGTTAAATTATATCAAAGATTGTTTAGACATGAATTTATAAAGTAACAATGAATTCTGTTGAAATTTATCAAGTTTTCATCAGCACAGGTGCATACGCTTTGTTTAGTTTTGTATATTTTCAGCCAAGGTTTTTAATCCGCAGACTGATTTGTTTGAGATTAATCGAACAACAAAAGAAAATGCAAATTATTTGAATCCATGTTCGCACTAAGATTTAATCGAATGCTTAAATAAAATTACAAAAGTTTCTCTATTCAGATGCAGCATATTTAATGTTAGGTGATTTAAAAGTTTCTAAATGTTTTATTTGATAGACGGAATGATTATAATGTTCGCTTAAGAACACAGTTAATCATAAATACTATTTGAAACCGATTCCCAATCCGAGTATTAAATCATCCCTACAAGAAACGCAATTAGATGACGATTAACAAGAGACAAGATATCATTCAAGAAGTCAAGATGGTCAGAGAAAGAAAGCCAGGAAAACGAGACACGTTTGAGATATTACTAATTTGACCAGCACGTCCCAAAAATGAACGGCATTTTAATTTAACGTAACATCAAATCAAAATGCAGGTATTCATTGCCATCAGTCGCGTTGAATACAGTATTAATTAGGACAATGTAACCTCTTGAAGAGGAATCCAGCGCCGGTATAAATAAACCTCGTTTCAGTACACAGATTGTTTTTGAAGGCGAAGGCGTGTTATCGCTTGCGCAACTATGTGTAAATCCATGCTATGTCCGGTGACTGAACCCGATCGCATTTATACTAAAATAGTTGAACACGCATTTGTCTATAAATAGCTCGCGTTTGGTTTTTATTGTGGTCATATGTGCGGTTGTTCTTTTGCGTTCCATATCACAAGGTGAGATTGCACATGTGGTACTTTTATTTCTTATTCGAAATTTTAACAATTTCTCCTAATTTCTGTTTTGTATATTCTTGCTATGTAGTGTAATTATTTTATTTCACGGCGTTCTAAATAATTGATCTTATCTATTAAGCGCCGTATGCGTTAAAAATATTTTCAACAGAAATTCTTTAATTGAACGTCTAATCTGAGCTGTGCGAAATATGAATAATATTTAGGACTTTAGCGTGGTAAAAAAACGTGTATATATGCAACGTGGCCCAAAAGCAGGTAAAAAAATTACTAAATTGAACGACATTTGCGGTTGAGTCTGTTCATCTACTGTTCTGTATTTCACTAGAGTGGATTCATATGCGTGAGGATGGTGTAGCATGATTTACCTATTTTATGTGATTCAAAAGTTATGCTGAGCACTAACACAAATGTGACGAGACCCTACGCGACGCACAGGTGAGAACCACTGGGCTAGAGCCTTGCTCATAGACGCCTCTAAGAATATACGTGTTTGTTTTGAATCAGAACATAATGAACTGCAATATGGCAATATGCAAATTTTTAGGAAGTACTGATAATGAATTACGTTAAAACGTTTGTAACTTCTCTGTAGTCTCCTTTTTGTTCTGCAACTGGGCTGACGGAAATTTAAAGAAAGCAATCAGCAAAGAAATCTTTACTTTTTAGTGCTACAACGGTCTCCCACATGATCATGAAACGCCTGATGTAATATCAAAGGCATAAGTCGGAGTCGCAGCTCTTCGTGTACCAAAAGAAATGGCTGGTTTAGAATCGCTGGTCTAGATAAAAGTTTTTTAATATTTACTTTTTATGTTACAAGAGTAGACGACCTAAATATAAACCGGAATTTTCAATTACGCTGAAACTCCATTGAATTTATAAATTCTTTTATGATTCAGTCACAACAATTACGTAGTTCCATATTATGAGAGATTTTGCCGAACAAAACAACCTTTCAATCGTTCTCGATATCATTTCGTTCCCGAACATCTCACAGAGCGGACGTATTAGATTTCAATCGTGAAAGTTTACTGAGATATCGAGTTACTTGCGGCAGTGCTGCATATGTATGTCACAGCGTTGGATGCTTTAAATATTAAATCAATTGAAATTGAATATTCGTCACTTAGTGTTTACGAATTTGCTTTTTTATGTAGTTGAATTACTTCGGGTATAACCAATCGTGTTTGTTTTACAAGCCAAGTAGTATACACAGGTTTACCCAAAGCAATGGGTGCCTCCATATCGAATGTGGAATATTAATATTAATAGAAAAGTTACAAACGATACAGAAGAACAAAAACTATATCAGAGTCGGGAAAGTCTGATTTTCTGGTTCCTATTCGCCGGGAGTGATGAAAACGACTAAATAATAGGCTAGAATCGCAATTTGAATAGCGTCGTCTGTTGAAGGCTATTGAGCAGCCATTTTGGCAGTAGGTTAGAAATACCAATTCAACACTTCTCCGCATATTTAATACGGTGATAATAAATTATTAATATGATAATTAATTAACGAAATGGCCCCGATCGCCATTTGAATTGCCTTCTCCCCGTAGGCCTATTAGGCTGCCATATAGGCAGTAGGTTATGAATAGCAATGTGTGGTCCCAAACGCCAACTAATTATGGTAACATTCTTGCACCTTATGTTTTTTAGCATTTAATTCAAATATAAAATATATAAACTTACTATTTATAATAATAAATACAATGGAAATCACACGGACCATGGGAAGCATTACTAAAGCAATCAACCTATTATTTATATTATCAATGGTAATGGAAGGATCCGCGGGACCTGCCGTCGATTTCAAGCGCCATTACTCGGGGCAACCAAATAGTGGAAGCGCCACGAGAGTCTGTCGAAGCGTTTGCTTGCAAGTTAATCAAGTTTGCAGTAATACGTGTTATAAGCCACAAGGAACGGCCCACACTACTTTCTCGACGCCGTGGAGGAGGGATGGAACGCTATACAACGTTCAAAAAGACGATTCAGCGAAATTCCAATGCATGGACCGATGCCTGAAGAACAGCGATGACCCTTATCTGGTAGGTTCAACTTTCTGATCTAAAACTAACTGTTATGTAGCACAAAATGCGATTCGCGGGAGGTATTTGTTTTGAGTTTATTTCCCCGACGTTATAAGCGCGTCGTTTCCCAATATCCGAGCTTTCAAACTGTGTGCCATGGCGCGCTAGTGTACCGCGAAAGTGTTTGATGTGTGCCGCAAAATTCTTTCGTTTGGCTAAAGATTTATTAAAATGTTTGGTATTGTGTTTGAGGTTGAGACGCAATGTATTGTTTTTTACTGCTATTTCAGTAATAAATAAATTAGTATTTGCAAATTTTAAAAAGAGTAGATTACGTCTTTGTATAACACATGATCCGTTGACTCCAGTTAATAATACATGCTAATGTCGAACTCCCCATCCCTGGCTCCCGTTAAGAATCTGTGCGTATGTGCTTGCAAGTGGACACCGCTTATGTGTCCGCAGTGTATCGGGGAATTTTTTTTTTATTTCGCGTCGTATACCGATTATAATTTCGTCATAACTGAAATATTCATTCGTTTGAAGTTCCTGCAGGTTCAAAGAAAAGTCAATTAAATAGCTGTGATCATGATTGATGTCAATTCAACACTTCTTCCGCATAATTAATACGATGTAATAAATGATATGGAAATTTAGTGCCAAGTTTGTTTGGTCATTTGAAGCCAAATGATGGCATGGTCGAATGAGTTGTCTAGTCCAGGGTTATCAAACTTTCGTTGTTATGGAGCCCGTGAAGAGCTTGGCTATTATTTACGGAGCCCTACAATAAATTTATAAAAACACATTGTTACTTACCGATTGATGTTCCTGAGTAAAGTAAAATTAGTTGGAACTTATAGGTAATGACATATGTAGCCCTCACAATACCGTCAGACAAATGTGTATTGTTATGTCATTAAACAGAGAAATACAAAAAACGGTAGAGCAGAAATACAGAAAGCTATGAAGCTAGACCCAAACGTAGAAGTGTGAATATGTGAACTGCTCATTTATGCACTAAACACGATTAATTATAATTTAATAAGGCGATGACAGATAAATACTCCTGTTGCCAAACTATCGCGTGACAAAGTGAAATGTTTGGAGTGAAATTTACCAGATGTGGAAAGTTCAAAACCTGTTTAATCACAATAATTTAAAATCGAATGTCGTCAATTTTGTGACAAATAAGAAAAATGGCGGAATATTTCTTGTATTTCTCACTGAAATTAAGTCATTTGTGCAGACGTCGCTTTAATTATCCGTTAAACTGATGGTTAAATTCAAAACGTAAAATGTTTTGCGGTCATTGCACGTTCAACTCAGAAGAGAACAAGTTTTCGAATGATATGAGAATAGCTCTTCCGAAATGTCTGCTTTTAATGTTTCTTGACTAAATTTGTTGTTTATCGCGAAAGACGGTTGGCGATGTTTCAAGGTGGTCGCGATGGCCTGGTGGTGTAAGCTTTAGACTCGGCTATGTATGTTACCATCACTGGTTAAAATCTTGGGGCCTCCCAAATTCCATTCTCACCAGCATCAAGGATGTGTTAAATTAGGTAGGGGATGTTGAATCGAAAATATTTCAGTTTTTCTCAAATAAACGAGTACTTACGTAGCAGTGGCGAATAGCTTTGATCGGAGCGAGAGGACTGTGAAAAGCATCGTGTTATTAATGATCCTATCCTATGTTTAATAAAAATGTTAAACAACAAAACTGAAAAGTAAAACTAAGATAAAACTGAATTTAACACTAAATTTCTCCAATTAAAACGAAAATACATAAATCAGAGCAAGCAATATGAACTAGTTTCCTTTCTAACTTAGTAAATATTTATCTCGTTATTGGTGTTCATGGAAGTTTGTTCTAATAAACCTTTGGAAAGTGATTTATAAATCATAACAAATTGTGTTTCTTTTACCTGATAAAAATCTTTTCGTTTTTCATGAAGTAGTCAATATGTTTTGCTTATCGTAGCTGATCCTGTGAAGTATTTGTTGACAAGGACCAAAGTCGGAACCTTTCGGCTGTCGGTTGTGTTTACAAAACAAAGATTAAGATTAAAATAAATCGGATATAATGTCATATTAGAGTATATTGATTGACTGAATTAATTTCGGCTTCAGAAAAACGCGATTTACGCGAGAATTGAAAATTTCCCAGGTAGCCAGATGAAGTTTGCCTGTATTCGAATGTGTATATATATAGTCAAAACGACGGGTAAACTATGTTGTTTGTTTTTCACCAGTTATGCATATAATAATATGAATAAACCTGGTAAAAATCACCAGCTATGTGTGTCTTTCGTGTCCATATGTTTGAGCATTGCTATATTGAGTATAAAGAGCATTGTAATAATGAGATTTTATCAAATATAAGCGTGAAGTCCCGATCTTTGCATGTTGTTTGTTTACTTATATTTTTATTCGGGAACCTCCTGTTTGTCTCTCAAAGATTTTACAAGGTACGGGCGTGTCACCGTGACTAACACACCAAATGATTTTCCATAAATATGACGAAATTCGCTAAAAACGCGTTTTTCTGAAGGAGTGGGAGACAATTACGACGGGTTCTGCAAGTTCAAGAAAATTACAGATATTTTTAAACACTGTAAATAATTTTGTTAAAATTACTTGCAATTTCACGTTATTTTCGTCTACACCAGGAAGATCAGAAAATAGATAAATTTTCAGCATCATTATTCATTTTTCAGAGAGTTTAAATCAATATTATCTCGCGACGTATCTAAATAAAGTGAATTTATAGAGATACTGCAAGATGTTAGTAAACATATCATAATTTTCCACAGTGTCTATCACCTGATATAAATTATTTCACGAGACAACGCGATACGTTTGCGTAAAAAAAACAGAATTTTAAAAATACCTAAGAATTTCTCCATATTATTTGTACAGTTTCTTAGCGAGAGTAATTACTGGTTAATTACCGAAACGCTAACGCATAGCAAGTTTTCATTCATCTCCGAGCGCTTTTGTTAGGAATCAGAACAAGTTTTGTCAAACTTACTTCACTTGCGACGCTGTTTATAATACAGCCCAATAGCACACAGATCAGACGATAGATATTATAGATAGTACCTTACCATATATCCATCCCTTTTCCTAACCCAATGTCTATTTGGCAGCCATATAACCCTCTATAGAAGAAGCCGTTCAAATGCTGAATTTACCCATACATCCATCTATCCCTAAATTTCAATGTCAGATATCCACTTTCAGACCATATGGCGCCAGGGATCACGTATTAATTTATTTGCACCTCATGGTTCCTATTCCTCTCCATCAAATTATTTAACTCATTATCAAAATCTTTATTTCGATTCAAAGATGTGACACGAAAATATTGTTTTATATTTCATACATTTAAAAAAGTCAGTGATTAATCGTATAAGTAGGACAAACGCTCGAGTAAGATTTTGCAATAAAATCAAACCTTCTTCGGTTAGATGGCCTGGTGGTAAAAGCGTCAGACTTAACTGTGTCGCATCACAGGTTAAAGTTAAAAATTTAGAGTTCTAATCCTTTCTAGGAACCAATTTGCATGATTTCATTGAAATTTTGGATTCGCTATCCGGATGAAGACACTCCCTACGATTTAATGTCAAACTGATATCATGCCGCAGCCTAAAACAAATATTTTACATTTGATCGAGACATTAAGGCATTTACGGTTTCCACACATGTAGGTATTCATTGTATTCACATTGGTTATCGGTTGGTATATGAGTAAATTTCCTTTTTCGCATATTTTTACAGAGGAAGTTGTTCAGTGTGGGCGGCATAAGTTTGGCAGGAATCGTTTATAATCTCTGACTAATTGATGTGGTCAATATGGCATTATGACCGCACATAACGCGACGGCAACATATGCCATTAAATGTGTCACTTTATTAATCTGGTATCAATCGTCTCGCGGGCCTTTCATATCGCGGAGCGTTCCTTTTCTAATAATCTCGGCAAGGGAGCTTAACCCATCGGTACTTGAAACAAACTGGGTGACTCTTTAAACTATAGATCTTTGAACTGCAAATTGTCGGTACTCTAGCTAGACCAAGGTTTTCTAAACCGGGTCCTCAGCCCATCAAGGGAGCAACAGAGCGATCCTCGGTGGGGCACGATCAGTCTTTCACTATAGGTACCGTTCCCGGTGACCGCAGTAATTTGTAAATCAACGTTGAGTAAATCAACTGTTATTGCTTCATTTACTCTTTTGCTTTCATTTGTTGGCTTTTCAATATTAAACGTGGGGCATGAAATAACTGATAGGTACGATCTGAAACTGATCTTTTTATAGAAGAGCACGAATGCTTAAAGTTTTTGAAACGAGCCGTGGATCCTGAAAGTTTGATGTAGCAATAGCATCGCGTTAGATCTTCACGCCCATAAGAATATGCGTAACGTTCCGTTGTCAAATACCTTGTCGATAAATCCGGCAGAGATCGGATGTTGTCGATTGAAGGTAGTTTGATGAGGTTTAAGCATTGCTAATCTCTCATGTAGGAAATGTCGCATCAAAATGTTAGAATAATCTAGATTCCATGTTAAGACAAATGTCAGAACTACTTTAAATAACGTCAGTCGCCGCAGGCTTTCACTATTTTTATCCTCACTTGAGTCAATCATAGACTCTCATTAAGTTTGACCTCTAATTGAATAGATCTGCACAACGATGTTTTTAAACCGATTCCCAAAAATGAACTTGGGCTTCCAAATACGCACGTTGTATGTAAAATCTCATAAATTTTATTAAGTATATACTCATATAACAACATAGAATATGACAAGAGAGCAATGCCCATATATAGAAACACGTCCCGCCAGGCCTTAGCTGAGAGTGGAATTTTCTGAAAAGATCGACCAATAAGTGCGACGGAATATGGTCTTTTCAAAAGTTCTTATAAATCAAAAATAAACGGCAAAATTTTGAATAAAATATCGGATATTGGAGAACTCAAACTAAAAAATTTGAATTCGATCGGTTTTTTCGTAGCGGAGAGCAGGATTTTTTACAACAACATTCGCCCAAAAATGATCAACAAGTCCTCTATGAAATTTATGGCCGAAATTACAAACATAATTTACATATCAATTTGGCAAAACAATATCTCAAAGTAAGTCTAAGTAAAGTTATTGAATGTCGTTATATTTTTCAAAATTCAAATTTTTGAATAAAATTGCTCAAATTAAAATTCCTTTTGCGGACAAATTAAACGTCTAAGCTTATATTCTGACAGCGAGGTTTGAGTGAAAATATCGAATTATGTTTCTATCTCGTGGGAGAGAGATTTGTTCACAATGATGTCATTCATAGGTTGACTATCATCTCGTGTCTCATGTCAACGCAACACCGCAAATCACTTATAATCTTGCATTTCCATATTTGTGGTTTTGGTCGCAAATCTTACGATTTATCTTGTGGGTTACATTCTTTATGAAAGGATTTGAAAAAGAGGTCTAAATTATTTTAGGGTGAAATTTTCACTTTATATTTTCGTTTAATATTTTTCATATTCCCAAATTGATCAGTATTATTTTAATATATATTTATGAATACTAAGTATCCAAACTATGCAAAAGTCGTAGAATTGTTCGTATCAATAGCTAATAATTCATCAAAGATTGAACTACAAACGAAAACAGGAATGCTGAGTCGAAAATATCCCGAACCTTCTTAGCTATGGTGGCTCCTTGCCGGCAATGGATGTTTGTACAGGGCTTTGTCGGAGTGAATAACATATGAAATCTCTCGCATGTTAATATTAAATTGCGTAATTTTTGGTGTTATCTGGAGGTTAATCTGGAATCCAGATAATCCCTGAGCACTGATGGAAATCAAACATCATAACTGTCAAGTTGATGATGCATTAGCGATTACCGATGTTCTGCAATATTTCTTGTCTCTAGTCGGATTTTTGAGAATTGAAAAACCAAAATCCGGATCAAATATCTTTCTCTAGATTAAGTTGTTCTTCTTGGAATTCTAAATGAGATGCATCTTTCTATGACTAAGATATAAAACATTTTGACAATTCGTTATTTTCAGAGTTTTACTCATGTAATTAAATTCCAAGTATTTCACATCAAAAATCAGTTTTCAACCACGATAGGAACTTCGTTAGGGAATCACCTCTTTAATTATTGAATATGAATCTGATTGAAAAAAAGGGCAAAATAATTTTACTTGCTAGCGCAATAAAATGTCAAAAACCTGGAACAAGTCATCAACAATGTTTACTATGAATCGAAAGATGTTTGAAAACAAATAATATTAAAAAATTATATCCGTCTCGGAACCTGTATCGCCAAACTAACTAATAAATACTCCTTATCTGGTCCGTCGTTTTACTTAAACTAGCAATTTACTTGTGATATGTGCAACATAACTGAGATGTATATGTATATACCTTTGTACAGGTGAGTTAGCAAAACCACTATAACAACCAGGGTTGCATGGTTCGAGATGTTTACATTTGAATATGGAATTGTATATTCCACTCCCCAGAGTTGGAGTTAAAGCCGAGTTATTCCTTTTCCAGTTGGAATCGAGAGTCTGTGTAGAACTTACGAATATTCCATATCCCTGATAAATATATTCAATTAATGTTAATATTTAGTTGCGAAAACGGTGCTGCAGAATCTTCAATAAATGGGTATGAGTGATTGGGTTCTAACGAGGAATAAAATTTGTTCAAACTTTCTAAAAAATGTTCAAACACATTTGGTTTTCTGTTTTCAAATTTGTTCCACTTTATTATCCAATCCATGCACGATTCGAAGTTTCAGTTCTACTATTTTCTGTTATTTTCCTAATTTTATTTGAAATGGGTCATTTTTTCATTTTTTATTCATTCTCGGATATAGCTAGAGGCATTCAATCAATCATATGTTCCTTATTCATGCTCTATTCATATCAATCGAAACCATCTTGTTGGAAAACTTTTATTTTTGCATTTTAATTTGTCACGTTGGTATTAATTTCGTGAACGATCATGTTTTTCAAACGACACTTTATCCGTTACTTTAATCATCACTTCTAAATGTTTCATATTAAACGTCCAACATATTTTGTCTTATTCCGGGTAATAGATTCTACCTAGTTCTTGAAGCGTTGGACTTGATCAAGTTGGCGTCGCAGGCTAACAATCTATGCCCCGCCCAGGGTGTTATAAATGAGATCGATCCTCCATTCTCACATATAGCCACCCCAATAGCTGCAAACCCTTGTTTAGAGTGAAGAGATTTACGTCGCATGAAAATGAGGAACAATACTAACTCCAAGCCCACAGTCATCTCAAAGAAATTAAATATATAAATAGTATTTATTTTGAATATTTTACTTTCGGTTACAGTGAATTGACATTTATAAATTGGTAGCAATGCGAATAAAATTAAATCTGACATTTCTGAAAAGTTCGCGCAAAACGTCACTTTGTGCGCACGCCATTAATTTAAATACGTTCGTGCAACGCTGCGTACGTGAACAAGTTAGAAATAGCAATGGGTATACGAACCCAATTGTCAGAAGAATCCATTTTATTGATAGCACATGCGTGACAACATAAAACATAACGTAAATCTACGTAATAGCGTAAGACATGTTTGAAGATAAATGAATAAGTGTAAAATATAATCAAAATAAGTGACTTTTCGCAATTACTCAGAATGTTCCATTCTATTCGTTTATGACACGATATTTTCACAAATATTAACATGAATGGAAATTGACATTTTTTATGGGTTTCGGGTCAGTTTCTACGCACGTTGAGTCTGCTTTCACGCGAAGTTTGATGAATGAACGTATAAAATAGTAACCAAGGAATATTAATAAGTTTCCATGCGTCGATACGTAGAATGCGTAAATAAAACGCAGTACCAGAATAGTTCTACCGCAAAATAAATAATCAAATCTTTTTTGTTTAACCGATTTAGACTTGTTCGGATAATTTCTAAATCTAATTGTTTTTCGTTATTGCAGTGTAGCCCGAACTGTACACAAATAATACTTTGAGTAACACGATTTTATGAAAAATGTTCTTAAGTTGATATTATATAATAAACTGAATCTTCGAAACCCTATTAATTATCGATTTATATCTTGCTGTATCATTTTTACAAATAAAATCTTCAATGAAACAAACCATTGATCTGAGCTATTAGGTAAACAGAAATTGAAATCAAAGGAAAACGCAGATCCGGATTTGTAACGTATTTTAACCGCGCCTAACGACATAAGCAATAGCTCAAATTTGCAAAGTTATATTTGCAACCTAACATTGACAAAATTTTGTTATTGCAACTCTCATGTAGTTGGCGTCATCTGCTAAACACCGGATGACAACAAAATTAATTCGGCTTCTATGATGTAATAATATATCAAAATACGGTCTCTATGATGTAATACGATAGGTGTCGGCGGTTCGCGACCGAGTTGTGTAGATGTGAAAATATATGATTCCGGATATTTATATAAAGTTGCAATTCGCTTACAATATTTTTGTCAAAAGCGTTAATCTCTTTTCCCTCAGCCGGTGCAATGACAAAGCGGTTAAGGCGTTAGACTTGACTATGTCCGGATCACAGTTTACACAATAATGAATATCGAAAATTTATGTTTCGTACTTGACCACACTTTTACTACTAAGTTCTCGATCATTTATTTTCACTCCCTGTCTAATTCATTATCTTCGTTTTTAGATCCCAGACAGCTGCGAGCGTCCTGACGACGAAGACGAGGAACCAACCACAGGTTCGTTTGAATTCAGTATTTGACAAAATGTATTTGGGAGGCCCTATTTATGGAATGGAACAAGCGTTAGACTCACTGCTTGGATTCATGTAAATGTGATGACTCGTTCCCAACAATAGCCAGTGCGACTTGGTTCGATTCGACCTCGGACTCAAAACTCGGGTGACCCGTGACTGAATGTTGAGAAATCCCTGAGCAACACTACATATTTATATCTCATTCCCAAACTATTGATTATGGATGCACCCCTTCAGTTAATTCAGAAGTCGCTATAGTTCAACAAAATATATTTCCTTTATACCCTTTCTCTCCAAACAAATCTCAAGACAAACAGCCAGTGATAAGCAAAGTAATTATTTGAAATAACCTACGACATTAGTGTGTTCCTGCGATTTGTCATTACATATTTAATATTGTTACACCGTGCATGGCACATAGTGCAGGTCGCGGGGTCAATGGAAAATGCATCGCAAACCGCTGTTGTTCCCAATTCAATCAACTCAAATTTCGGTTAGAACTCGGTGAATTTTTTTTTTTTGAAAATTGATACTTTTATTCGCAAATCTTATTTTGCTTAAAAAAGTTCTTAAATTCCGCATTTGAAACAAAAGTATTTGAAACACTTATCATTGAGTGGGCGCAAGACGGAATCAGACATTGTAAGCGGTAAATATCTAAGATTAACGCGGCTTTTCTGAACGTTTTAATTGCTAAACCTCGTAAACAAATTGTCGAAAACATGGTAAAACGCCATTAGCGCGCGGCATTAATGATAGGAAATTACTTAATTTCTGGTCTGAATTCCAGAAACTTGAACTAAATGACTGACGGCCGCTTGCGTCTAACAATAATCAGTAGTTAATGTTTTTCACCACACTGAAAATACATTTGTATATTTGGAATATAAAATAATCTAAAATGGGACTTAAGCATAAAGGGAGACAAAAAAATATATAGAAATTAGTTATTGAGCAACGATACCCGTGAAGATGATAATATTAGTAAATATAATGGTGAACCGCGAGTTCATTTCATCAAAACAAATCTCACCAAATTAGGTATAGGCAATGCCGACTCGAGTAGATTCCGGCTTCGTGGATGCTTGTTTATAACCTTGTTCAGAGTGAATATGAGGGTCGTATAAAATATTTAACGAAAACTAATCATGATAATTATAAAAACAATAATTCAGCATCGTTTAATTGCTTGGAGTAATTGCGCGCACGTGTCAGCGGTTTCCCATCAATAATTACTCAAACCACAACACAACTAGATAGTTCGAATGTGAAAGTGAATAATACAGCAGTAAAACGTTACACCGTACAATGAGATCAAAGACTATGGCTGCCTGGTTGTACTGAACCTACTAACCATGGGTTGTAATAGTAATTCACATATCTGCAATTCGCACATTTTCTCCAAACATTCACCGAAAGTAAACAGCAGTAGCTTCTATTTCTATGTGATTTCAGAATGAAGGATGTTTTCATCAGATATTTTATGCGCCACGATTTATAATAAGAAACCAAAAAAATGAAAGCATATCGGTCAAATATTTAAAATGAAAACAAAAACAACATACAGACTAAATCAATTTAGTCATCGCGAGTGATATATAGCGAAGGGCTGTGCTCGCGTGTCCCAAGATGGAGGGTGAGATCCCAATTTAAAATCTCTAACATAGATAATCATTTTACAGGAGCAAGGCCAACAAGAGGAAAACCTCAGACTGACGAAGCGGGCAGGATCGATCTTTCAAGTTTAACAACAAAACGAAGATGCGAGTTGCAAGCTTATAGAAATTCAACTGTTTGCAGATTTGAAGACGCTGCACCTGACATTGCAAAGAAGGTAAGCGCAGTAATGGATTTGCTTGTAATAGTTTCAATGAGGAATAACAGCATTTGGAAAGTTTTGAACGAGTATCTATGTTATCTTCATACTTTCAATCCGAAAAAAAAGTTTCCGTAATTAAACTAAAAGAACAATTTAGTTGGTAATTTCATATCTAAAAAACTGACAACTAAACAACTAAAAACTGACAATATCGAGGAAAACACTAAAGCGAGCTAATGTTCGCAATTGCTGGTATTTCAAATGTTTAGCCGCTGTTGATTTGCGCAAATAAACAATAAAGTCGCAATAAAGTCGATGCTCGGATATTTGATTGGTTTATTGAAAAAGATACAATTTTACAATGTCGCAGAAGCCCGGCCAAGTTTGTTTTTAAAAATTAGTCCAAGAATCTTTTGAAATAACTCTTTATGACCCGATTTGAATCATCAAACTAAAATTTCACCAAATGTACCGTCACAGGTCTTCGATGCCAACAAACCAAAGCTTACTCTATGCATGGGAGGATCAGTGATGAGTGGGAGACGCGGATTATACACAACAAGCACTCGTGAGTATGTTTATATGAGTACCTGGTAGACGAGATTTCCCATGTTATTATGCTTTCATTTATTTTTCTGATTTCTGTGATATCCGATATATCACCCAAAATTTTACTGTTCATTTTTAATTTCTTATTATAGTTGTCGCTGCTCGATAACCAATACTGGTTTATCCCGTCCCCTTCCACACTGAATGCATTTTTTCTGGTACTCCTGAAGTATGCGCACCAAGATGTCGCACAACCTATACCTTAACCTGGTACACAACCTGAGTTCAGGTTGTGCGCCATCTTGGTGCGCAAACTTCAGGAGGTCCTTTTTTCTTTTACCTCGTTCTGTATGTACAATGTGTGTTTTCAATACGGTAAAAAACAAACTACTGACTACGGGAACAATGTTCTTAATTTGTTAAGTGTGGCCGCCACGGCTCTCCTTCGTTGTTTTGAATTCGCTAACGCGGTACTGAGCCAAATTTCAGTTTGAGTCACATAGGCTACCAGAACTTCGGTCAGATAATGATAGTTTATGCGCCTATATTCAAGTATTGCCCTCTTGTTTCAATTTATACTGATTTGGTTTTCAGTGAAATCTTTTGTGAATCAACAAAATCAATTACGACTTTCATCTGAGTTCGAATCTTCATTCTCGTCCTCAAGACTGAGTAGAAGTGTAGAGAGTCAAGATGATATCCAGACTCCTAGCACATCCGGGAGAAAGAAACGATCGAAAAGAGACGGCGACGATAATGCATTCAGCTTTGAAAATTTGGAGCGACCAAAAAATATTGTAAAGTAAGTCAGGGTTAGAAACTTTATTAACATGCGTTCGGCTGTGAAATTAGATAAATAGAGGCAAATCACAATTAACTGAAATCACTTTCATACAATTTTTCGGACACATTTCACTCTAACCACGGTTATTCACAAGAAGTCATTATAAAAAATGAGAGGATATATTTGAAAATAACAGAAATCTATTCGTTACGACATTGCCTACTCAATTTACGGTATTCCCGTAGTATGTGCACCAAGATGGCGGACACCGGAACGTAGTATGTGTATCAGGTTAGGCCATAATTTCAGGTACAAATACTACGGGAGTCATTTGGCTAGTCCCCGAACTCGTAATAAAACTAAAATAATAAAAATTGGAATAAAATTATGGCCTAACCTCAACCTGGTACACATACTATGTTCAGGTGTCCGATATCTTGTTGCACATACTACGGGAGCGCCCAATTTACTACACTTAGTTTCTAATCTACTAGTAGTTCCATAGGTTCCGATTGGCATGTCAACGCCTAACAGAAGTTGCTACCAATACTGCTTATTTAACTGCTTTAATAACATGTATAATGCGCTAGTTTCAAACGAATTTGTTAAATTTCAGAAGAAGAGTAAAGCGACAATCGTCCAGACGAGACAGAAGAGTTAGTAAGGAACTTTGCATAACTGATATGAACGTTGAGTCACCTAGTCGTGCAATACACAGAGCTACAGGACAGCTTGTCGATATTTACTTTTATGACGGATATTCACAATGGTTTCAGATGGGAAGCTGCAAACACAGCGATCCAGTGATGTCGGTCAACGTTAGAGGTGAGATCGCTTATGTTAGTTCACAGCCAAGATGGTTGTATTCATATCCCAGATTTATTCGGGTAGATTCGCCACTAAATGATGGTCTTTAATGTCCTTTTTGAAAAATCCTCTAAATATGTATCACATAACGTAAATAAGTAAAGAAAATTGGCAAATTTACCTGCAAAAACGAACATCAAATTCTCCCCCTAAAACCGTTGAATTTTTTCCTGGTCGGGAAACAGTGATTCAACAAGTGACGATTTAACTTATGAGAGACGCCTAATAGCAAACGCATCCACAGCGCATCGTTTGTGACATCGCCAGAGCCTATGTTATTGTTTCACCTATATTCCGACAGAACTTTTATGCAATATCGGGCCTTATTATCACTCGAGTCACCAATTGACGTGACTCGAGATATCTAAATGACTTGGACACGTACGCCACCAAACGCCAGTGAGACTTAACTCACTGATTGATTCGACTACGGACTTAACCTGTGACCCGTCTTTGACTCACGAATCGTGTTTTGAGAACTAATCTAACACTTTCTACAAGTCCAAAAGACCAAAACCCAATATTTGAAAATACTTTTTCAGATGCTCAAAGTTTACGATGCGGAATGGCAATGACTGCGCATAAAGCCTACATTGTGATTGATCCAGCAAAAATGAAAGACGCTCATAAAGTGAAAGATTGCGGAACTATTCCTGCAAGAGACTCAAAATATCAAATTTGTAACGACTGGGTGTATCTGCCATCGCATTGCAAATTATTTTACTCGTGAGGTGGAGCAGAGATAATTATGTTCGACACAAAAATTCATGGGAAACCTCGACGGTTCGAAAGTTGATTACCAAGGGAGATAAGACATCAAACCACTGTGATGATGTGAACTATAAGAAACGCTGTGATGAACACAGTTGAGAGCGACAGTGATTTTATACAAAGACGATGACTGAACTGCGATCACATATTATTCTCGTATTTCTATACGACAAAACATGAAAATTATCGCCGCCATTCATTGAAGAAAGCCCTGGGAATCAAATTTAACGGTTCCATAATGCTGTAAAATATTTCGAAGTTAGCCGCCATATTTCTTGGGGAATAACCTTCGTAGAATATTGGAAAGCTAATATCACTGAAGCACAAATTGTGCTTGAAACTTGGATCTTTGGCGGCCTCGTTCAAAGAAAAAAATCGTATTGCGTTATATATAAAACTTTTGTAAAAAAGAATACCGCATGAACAGATGTTTAGAACAACAAATACGCTTTTCTAATAATATTTTTGCATGCTCTTGTCAATGGATTGTTAACGGGTTTCTAGCAAGCTTTCAGCAGTATTATTTCTAACTTTGAAAATACACATAATTTTCATATATATTTTTAACAGTGTACTGTGACGGTATAATTGATTACGATCTTCGTTCTGCGTTATTATCATTTGACGTAAAAACCAATTCATGTAAAACAATACGTTTGAAGCGATGGTAATTTCTGCTAATAATTTCAATAATTTGTCTTTAATTTGTCTCGACATCCGCGACAACCTCACCAAAAGTTTTTCTTCCTGAGAAAACGTTTTAATATATTACTACACGGCTTATGTCAGTCAATGCCAAATATGTCGGTTTTTATTAAAAACACATAAGCGAAGAAATTCAAAAATTTTTTGCGTTGGCCTGTGTTTCACCAACAAAAATGTTTGCCAACGCTGTCAAAAATCAATGTGAATCATACATATTAGGTTTTTTATTCACCTCTGTGTTTACGAAAAACGTAACGGCGATGAAAATCACTAATTTTTTAAAATTGGCCTGTATTTCACCGACAAAAATGTTGGCCAACGCTATCAAAAATCTATGTGAAACATACATATTAAGTTTTTTTTCATTCACCTCCTTTTTTGATGAAAAACGTAACGTCGTATCTTAAACACGCAAACTTTCCATCGTAATTAAATAAATCGCAGTTTCCAATCCACTGTAGTATGACAGGCTTGCCAAATCGGAAATGCGCCGTGGAAAACCGCGAAGATATTAATAAAGAGTAATGATTCCATGGTTTTAAACTTAAGAAGATCTTGATGGTTTTTGGCAGCTTGGTGGTAAAACTGGCATTAATATTTGTCAAATATTAATTCATCGAAGCCGTTTAAATGAATCGCATTATAGTATCGCATTACCCCGCCCAATCATGGCAAGGATGTGATGTGAATCATTCGCTTTTACATGAAAAATGGCGTCGGGTCACAAAAATCAAAGGCGACTTTAACTGATTAAATTACGCACTTAACGATATAAACGAATGATAAGTTCTACAAATCCTATGAATGGATTTCATTGTAACATTCCTACTTCTACGATTGACGCGCCTTGTCAAGGCTCTTCGGACGTGGAATGTTTATGAATGAACTTTTTATATTAAATTTGTTTTGGTGTCGCATTTCCAACAATTTATGACACAAATTTCTATTTAGAATCATTCGATAATTTGCTTACAATAAAATATGACCTCGCGTTTGCGTTGAAAACGTATTATCCCAAGATTGAGTTTCAATCTCTTAATCCAACCGCTATAATTAAAAATAAAATTCTAATTTTGGTGGGAATATCGGATCCCACTTTATTCGAAAAACACGGGATCTTTTGTACTCTCGCTACCGCTCGAAATGAAAAAATTTAGTAATTATTCAGTTAGGGCGAGGGCTAGGAATGCAGATTGCGCTTGAATTCCAATTTTCAAATATTCCCAAACCTAACTCTAACTGGATAATTAATAATTTATTTTTTTAAACGTGGCAAGGGTGTCAACGTGGCAACCCTGACAACAATTTAGCAAAACGATTCGTATGTAATTTCGTGCCCAAAAACATACCCAGTCTTAAATAAAAAAATAAATTCGGTATTCGTTCAATATAATCATACAACAACGGAGAACATAATCGTATTCATTTTATTTATATCCGACGATTGATGTAATTTTTTGTTGTGAGCTCTGACGTCATGGTCGAAAAACAATCCATTTGTGAGTGAGTTTGTGAAGCAGCTTCTTCAGCAAACTTTGCGACAGCGGGTGTGCCCCGATGTTTTATCTTATCCGGTTCCCACAATCAATGCTTGTTTATTTTATCTTTTAAATTTATCAAAGGTTAATGACGTCATTCAAAATTATCAATGAACTCGATTGTCGCGTGTCAGGTAACTATTGCGTAACACTGTTCCCACTTTCTGTGGCACTTATGATCTCACAAACATCTATCACCCGCCGCTTGTCTATCTTGTCTATACAAAAATCTCATTCCCCATGGAAGCGAAGTAATGCGAGGTCTATTTCCCCAATACAACCAATATGTTATGAAACATGCACAACTAGTAAAAATCTAAAAATTTAGATTAGTAAAATCTTTTCAATGAATTCAATTCCCAGATAAAATTTTTCTGCAATTTAAATTATACTATAACGTTCACGTCTTACCGTTTGTGCATGTATTACTATAAACAAGCGTAGTTGTAACCATTGTTTTGTAATGTCAACCTTTATATATAGATATGAGATTCGATCACAATGTTCAACTCTCTTATGCGTTGGAATTCTTTAATCCGAAATAAAGGAAAGTTTTTTCACAAAAATTTTAATTTATATAAAAACAGTGTTTTATTTCTTTTATATTAATGAAATTATATCTTTATTATTTTTTATTTTCACCGAATAATTTAACTTTATTTCTTCAGCTTGAAATAAAGAATTTATCTTTGACAACGGCACGAAATCCAGCAAATCTATTTATACCTTCTGCAATCCATTATTATAATAATGTATATAATATTTGTTTGGTAATAAAATAGAAAAATCGACATTACGACTGATTTTGTTCAGATTACTAAAAAGAAAATTGGATCCTAAGGTCTACCGCAATACGTCGGCTGCAATATTTTTGTTAGTGAATGGCATTTTTGACATTGAAACATGGCAGTGAACACAGAATGATCACAAAATTGTTTTTGAGACAGGCTTGGATATCGCACCCAAACATAGCGTGAGATATACCCCAAGATAGTACTACAGAAGCGTGAGATGTACCTCAAACTAGTACTGCAACATGGGATCTGCCCAAACCTAGTACTGCAGAAGCGTGAGATCTACCTCAATATGGTACTCACTTCACGTGAGATCTATCGCTGCATTCCCGCAACACATCGCGATATAGGAGCACGAAAAATGTAACGATTGGGCTCCAAATAAACAATTATTTGGAATCTCGGTTTTCGGGTATGGAATCTTAAGTGTTAGGTGGAGCCGAGTAATTTACGGAGCCCGAATCGTCTTTTTCAAAGACTCGACTAAACAAACAGAACTCGACTAACCACAAGAGAGAATTAACTTGGGCCGGCGAGCCTTTAAATCGGCTCCATTACATTTGAACCCACGTACATTTGAACCCGTTATTTGAACCCACGACAATTGCACCTGCATACTATTACACCCATGGAAATTTTACGGATATTTGAACCCATACTAACCCTAACCCATGGATTTTAGCACCTGCGGATGTACGGGTGCAAATGTATGGGTTCAAATGTACGTGGATTCAAATGTGCTGTCACCTTTAATCAGCAAGATGAATTCAGATGAACTGTGATTTGCCAGATATATTATAAGGTTGCATGGAAAAATTAAAAATATTCCGTATTGATACCGAGGTAAATGTTGTCAAAACATAATATTATGTCCGGATTCGATTATCAAAAAACGTTGATTCAACGCAAGAATGTAGTCTTTTGTTTGAGTATAACCTATTTTTATCTATCCCAATGTTGTCTAATGAATATACCATGACTCGGATCTCAAAACAGTAGCGACCCCACTTGTGCAATTAATCTCCACGACCCGAATTTAAAGTTTGCCGAGACTCGGTCTCGACTGTACTTGCGACTCAGGGTTTAGAATCTTTCACCAACACTGAGAATGCTTGCGTAAATATACCAGGCTTTACTATTAGAAAACTAAAGAAGATAAGACGTTTTTGACATAATGGTTTGACATTGTTTTAAACTCATTAACAGCCAGCAAAACCCAGGAATAATAATTTGTCAAATTATGTAAATATTTGTTCTTTAGCGACACCTGGAGATCAAAAATTTTAAACTAGTGGTTTTCAACATTCCAAAGTTTTTTTTACCTCTTCGCGAATTTTGAAGAAAGATTTACGGCTTCGACTGTGAAAACTATAGTGCCAGCTGGACTCTGTAACGAAAGCCTAATAAATAACAGCTATTGCGCAATTGTGGAAGCTGTGTGGCGAGATGCTAGCACTGAATTGAGTCTTCCGGTACACGACATCAATAGCTGCACCGTGGTCGATCTCTGCGTCCACTTTCTTAAAATCTACGTCTTAAAAACTAAGTTGATTTCATTTGAAAGACAAAATTGATAGTCTTAGAAAATCTTATAGAATCTTCGAGTAGACGAGCTTGCGGCGTATTTTAACCATTCAATGCTGGGACTCCAGAAATTATCTGGAATAAAACAGTTCATATTTTATCCTTGATCTATCCAGTTATAGCCGCGGTTCAATAAATTTCGTCTTTCCGTCGCCGTTACAAAAGGGGAAGTCAGGTACTGGCAAACCCTGCGGTCCTATCCTGCCCTCTACGCTCTACCGCTGGCCGTTCAGCGAGCAAATTCAAAGGTTGACAAATAGCCCACATACCAATATCAGTATTTCATAGAAGAGCACCATAACTTACAGACTAAGGCATTCAATATCACAAAGTGCAGAACCGGCAAACGGCCCATGCAAACAATCGCAGTCTGACGGAACGCAGGACATCGCTGAAAAATATACTAAACAGACCCAAAAGCACGATATGTCGTGTATACCCATTGGTTTACAATTCTGCATTCCCACCGGTAAAAACAGAGCTACAAACAAACATAATAATAAAATGCTTTGTACTGATTAGTGCTTTTCAACTAAGGGTCGCAAAACTAGTCAGTGGGGGTCGCGAAGTATTTCCAAACGCAAAGTATAGTTTTCAGTTGGATCCGAAAATTGTGGCATTATCATTACGTAACAATGTATAAATTAGAATTACGCGTCGCATCCCGTTAATAATTTCAGTACGCCCCTGCATCTTGGAAACTGTAGTCTGTAGATAGGCTACAAGTAGGCTAACCATACGTCCCGCTTTAGGCGGGACATTCCCGCTTTTCAGTGTTTTGTCCCGCCGTCCCGATAAGTCAGCCAAAAGTCCCGCTTTTCCAGCATAATACACAAACGTGTTCTCGTTACAGTTGTTCCTGTGCAGCGCAGCGCTAGCCTACTTACTGAAGGTGAATGCGTTCGTTTCCCGCCGATTCCCATTGATGGCAGACGTATCGCATGTAAAACCAATACTAATTAGTCTAAATTCGAATTATTTGTACCGGTATCGTTAACGTCAATTCCTTCCTATTTTTCGAACTGAACCCGATATTTGGACAGAGATATGCGCCTGAAATTTCGATAACAATATGGTCAATAAAGACAGCCGAGACAGCTTTAAATGTAGGAATGTAGGCCTATGTATTAAAATCGGAAAATGTGAAGTTATAAAATCATAGCTAAGGGGTCGTTGTCTTTCGAGGCGTCCCGATTTGAAGTCACAAAAATATGGTAACCATAGCTACAAGGCATATATATTAGTAATATGTTGAATTTGTGCAGACAGCAGCATAGACGCCGTTTACGTGATTGGTAATCTTATGTCCAATGAGTTGCATTTTAAATACTGGATGAACAGGGTTAATATATTTTATTTTAACGCCCTAACTTTGTTTGATTCCTGTGATCCGCAAAATGGTTATTTAAAAAACAAGAGAGCTACGCACAAATATATGGACACGTCAGACCAGAGCGAATCAGTCCTTACCGGTACCTTTGACGCTACCGGTACCCTCAAAAAAGTTCTGAATTTCCAGTAGCAAGAATTTTGCAGAATCAAAACGTACAGCCAGTCATGACACTGACTAAAATCCGTGTTCCCATGGATAAAAAATAATACAGCAAAATTTTAGACGAAATATCAAATTTCATAGAATTCACGCAAAATTTTGAAATAAATAAAAGTAATAGCCTTCTAGGGAAAAAATTATTCTTCAACCACTGAAAATTTCAAAGCAATTGGTCCAGTATTCGAAGAGAAAAGCGACTTTTTAAAAACGTTTCAAAGAACAACAACATAATATTGAAACGATCGTTATGTCCACTACGTGTCCAAAAAACATGTAACGGAGTAAAAGATAAAAAAGAAACTTGAATGATGTCTTGTGATATTATTGCTGTATTTTTGGCACTGGGGACACTGGGGACAATGTGACACTGTCGGTCTGTCCTTTGGGGTGTGCTGTGGTTGGCAGCGGTACAGTGTGGTTGTTTTCGGTTGGATTTTTGGTATTTAGTGTCTGTGGAAGTGCCTCTAGTCTCCGATGGGATATCGGGGATGGTTGTGTGATTGTTGGATTGGGATTTGTTGGATGTTTTTGTGCTGGACAGTGGGCTGATGTGGCTGCTTGAGTGCAGTGCCATTGCAGTTCATTTAGTGTTGTATTTTTGGTTGTTGTCATGGAATTAGCTATCATGAGTACTGTTCAAATGTTGTGCATATATAGAATTGTTCATGGTCTTTTAAAATACCTGTCATAAGTTATTTCAGCCTGTTTTGCAAATTGTAGAAGCTAGTTCAATGTACCGGATTCTAGAGGTCATTTTGCTTCTATTGAAAGTTGTCTTCAATTACAGGGTGCGTCAGTGTTTTTATTGTGTAGGCCCATATGGTTTTCCTTGCATTGTGCTGCGTGGTGTTTGTTGTTTTTATTGTATGCGTTTCGTTGGAGTATTTGATTGTATTAAGATTGATAATTAATAAATAGAATAAAATAGCATAACTTGAAGTGAATATTGAGAAGAAACTTGACGTCAGACCATATTGGAAAATATTCTGAACTTGGATAATTATTTCATAGACTGCCGGTACGCTACACATCTAATGGGGTTTCATTGAGGCAGAAAATGACTTTGAACCAAACGCGCAATGTGTTGAGTGTGAATGCTACGTTGCGTGTGAGCTTCTATCAAGCTTCGACTTGATCTGATAATATGCAAACTCAAGTTTCACATTAATAGCCCCCCATCCGCATGGGGATACATTGTGCCTTTTCCCATATATATACCAACATCTCATTGTGCCTCGGTGCGAATTCGCTTCACGTGATTTTTCTTCACGTGATTGGGCATCCTCGTCTCCTTCAGGGCACGGCTTTCTAAATTCATACTAAAGCTCTGGCGCTCGTATGGTTAATATAATTCTGCCCAGTTGCGCTCCAATGTACATGTTTTCACATTTTATTCTGGAGAGGAGCGGGCGAGGTGATTTATTCACGCGGCAAACTACGGCTACTGGTTCGACTAATTTTTAATGCCGGTACGTAAATACTCAACTAGTCTAAAGCTTCAGGTATATTGGCTTTGAATGCTATCACGCAAATGCAAAACCGACTCAGCGGTTGCGCTCCGCTAAAATCACGCTTGCCATCGCACACCTCTGATTACATTGCGCGTGTTTGCAGATTCGAATCCCGATAGAGAATGGTTATGTGCGACAGGATTGCTGGACTCTTTGCCGTCGAAGGGTGGTAGCCGCTGATCGGATACGGCTTCCTTCGCCATGAAGTCCATAGATATGAAGCAAACAATTAGCGAACTAATCCTACACCCTACGTGAACTAGTAACTGGGAGAGAGTGGTTAACATAAAGCCGTCTTATCGACATTCCTCTCCTCTGTAATAAACATAAATTTTTCAATTGCAAAATTGATAGAAGCCACAGACTATGGCGTCCGAATAACGTATTTTTTAACCATAGTACTCTATTCTACTGTAACCAAACGAGACAATTTGATGTATCATTGCAGGGCTTATTTGCTTCGGTTAAATCACATTTTGAAACCTGATTCAGGTCAAAACAAAATTTCACTCACCATTTATTTGAGTCTTCCTGAATTGATTGGAGAGTGCTGGAAATCACAAAGCATACGTCTTCAGTAGTATATCCTGGGCATTGTCATGGTTTTCCGTATTGTCTTTACAGCTTACTTCAGTAATCCTACCTCTATTCGTCACTACACCGATGAAACAGCGTAGCAGACTTCTGACTAATTAAAAAAATTACGAAGCTGTGTGTCAGGTGCACCGGCCATGTAAGCCTGCTGCACGCTTCATTAGTTCTCAATTATTGCGTACATGTAGAATTACGTGTTACATAATAATGCAAATAATCTGATTGACGTCAAGATGAAGACGACATTTTCATCAGTTATAATTAATAACACCAGACCACTCTTAGTTTCATAGCTAACAGAGCAACCGACTAGAAATGTCTGTTCACTACAAATTTATATGTTCGCAATAAAGCAGTTGCCTAACTTCAAATGACAATCACCTTCTAACATGGAATAACTATCACTTGATGATATATTCTCCAATATGACTTTAAGCCAGGAGTGTGCAACCTTCATTATAGGGGGCCAGATACAAGTAACTGGATGAAGCTGCGGGCCGCACCTTTATTTAAGATAGCCTTTCTAGCAGTAACAAGTTGTTTCTTTTTGTTATTGATCTTACGGCATTATTAGGGGTCCTTGCAAAAAATGGTGACGTAGAACGCATAAATTTAAGGAGGGAATTCATTATCACACCGACTTTAAACCAATTCAGTGAGAAGCACGTTTTTACAACATTGTGTACCGGTATTTTGCAACAGGGTTTTACTAGCTAGTTTTACTAATATGACAGTGACACTCAGAAACTGGTATAGGCTTTGCGACGCCAAGGGATTGTAATTGCTCGCACGTACCCGATTGAATAAACTAAAACTCGTTTCGCGGTCAGACCATTCAATATTGGCAGTTGGCATTTCTCCGCGGGCCGGACAATTTGCACACCCTTTAGTTTGGATTTCTGCCCATTGACAAATCACCCTTGCCTACTATGTCTCTTTAACTAATATCCCGAAATGAAACGAATAGATTTCTCCCAAAGTGATTTAATCCAGATATCAGTAAGACAAAGTGACCTGACAAACAATAAAGATGAATATTAAAATGAGTACAGGCAACCAGGCACAATACAAAGCAAGAATATACCAATTCACTTACATTTAAATGAGGCTTTGTCAGAACAGATTATCCCAATGTAAGAAACTTAAGAAATAGAATATTCATACCCAATGACTATAGCACCATTAACAAGCTTATGAGAACAGATCTAAAGACAGACTAAAGCTCTAGACAGTTAACCATAACAAGAAGTAATCAAGTAATCAGCCAATAATCGCGATGCAGTGAACCATACGTAAACACACCAAAAGTAAGTAGTATCAAGATAAATCAGTCAAATGTTCAAACCACTCCCCCCCAGTCTATGAATGCAATGAAAAAGACGATAATATTGAACATTGTTGATTCGGAGTAACTGATATGAGATTAGATGTCTTTCAACCCACACTGTAGCTCTTCTTTGGTCGCAATTAGACAAAGTTTATGTATTGGTCGATTGTATAAATTCCCATCGCTGTCTTTGATTGTAACACTTCTCACCAAGCCATCTGAACTGGGCATAATGTTGTGAACCAGTGCTTTTTTCCATAAACCTCTGGGTGCACTTCCGCCTTTAAATCCAGGTTGAAGAATTAATACGTAATCTCCAACTTGAAGATTGCGTCTTGTTCGAAACCATTTGTTAGCAAGTAATAGCTGAGGCGGTATGTGTTTCATCCATGTTTTCCAGAACACCTCAACTCTGTTTTCCGCCACTTTTAGCATGTCTCGTGGATTGAATCTCTCTTCTTGTGTAGTTTGAGGGACTACCTGCTTTGCATATGGATGTAAAAGAGTATTGCCAGTAATACAATTATATTCCAAAGGGTTTCCATCTGGGAAAAGTGGTCGACTATTGATGATATAAGTAATTTCGTTGAGAACAGTTGTCCATTCTTCGTAGGTCATAAGAGCCCTGCTGTAATTCACCACTGATGCATCGAGTGCTTTGCGAACCGAGTTGATAAGCGATTCTACTACTCCATTCATATGTGACGCGTAAGGCACATTATATTTCCAATCAAATTTCGTTTGATTCTCTGCCATCTCATGTTGAATCAACTGAAAATTCCATTTCTCGATCCATTCCTTGATAGGCGCTTGACTAGCTTGAAATGTAGTACCTCCGTCGGAAAATACAAAAGCAGGATGAATTCCCCTTATAGATACAAATCGTCTCCATGCCCGAAGGAACGAATTAGTATCCAGAGCCAGACACAGTTCCAGATGAATACAACGAGTGGTTGCACATGTAATAATTAAAACAGACGCGTTGATAACTACATTTCGAGATTGCTTTACTTTCAAGTATCCGAAAAAATCCATTGCTACAGAATTGAATGGTGCCATCTGTGGTTGCATTCGAAATGAAGGAAGTTCTCCCATGCGTTGCTGTAGCAACTTTCTACGACGAATCCTGCAAAATATACACATTGATGCTATTGATTTTAAGAGTATTCTTCCACCAATAAGAACAATACCGTCATTCTTCATATTTGCCAATATAACTCGATACCCTTGATGTAAGAACTTTTTATGATAGAACACTCCAAGAAGACGAACGAGGGAATGTTTGCCCGGAAGCACGACTGGATGCTTCATTTCCATATATAAATCAGTTCTATTCAGTCTTCCACCAATACGAAGAATTCCGTGAGAATCGAATAACAAGTCTAATTTCCATAGAGTTTTGACAGCCTTCCCAAATTCATCAATCATAGATTTTTGACAAATTCTGAATATACACAATTTTGCTTTCTCTATGTATTGTACGACATCGGCAGGTTTAAATTCCAAATTGACAAATGATTTTTGCTGAAATGCACCCTTCATCCAAGCTGTCGCTCTTAGCAAGTCTTGCCATGAAGAAAAATTATCCGCTAAATCATTATCATTTTGATAAGGCAAATCTGCTTTAACGACGTTGAATTGTCTTTTTCCGCGATATGCTTTTGACTTAGTTGGTGGTTTTTCTTCCAATATTTCTTGACGTAATTCATCTAATTTTAAGTCATCATCATTCGGCCAATATTCCATTGGTTGCCTTAGAAATTCAGGTCCTTCATGCCAAATTGTAAGCTTCTCGCAGGAAATAGGTTTTGTTAAACAATCTGCAGCATTAAGAAGACTTGGAATGAATTTGACTTCTTTTGTTAGATTCTTATGTGTATCTTGAAATTCTTGTACTCTTGAAGCAACGAATGGTTTGAATTTTCCAGATTGGGAGTTCAACCAATAAATAACAACTTTGCTGTCTATCCAGAAATATTTGAATGCAATATTGTACGGTAGTGCTCTACTTATTTCATGCACCAATCTGCTCATGCCTATTGCTCCCATTAGCTCCTTTCTTGGAGTACTTTTGTGTTTGAGTGGCGCCACAAATCCCTTTGCTGCAACGAATGTTAGCTTAACTCCACCTGTTGTAGGCCACCGTAAGAACACACAAGTGCCATAGGCTAAATCTCCACCGTCTGAAAATGCGTGCAGTTGAGGAGGTCCAGTTGTGTTTTCAGGTTTCAGACATCTTGGAGTTGAAACTTGAGCTAACTTGGACATTTCTTGAACATTGTTATACCAGCATTTGACCACATCATCTGGCAAAGTTTGGTCCCAGCTAAATCCATCTGCCCAGATCTTTTGAAGATCTATTCTATACTGCATTGTGACTGGAAGTAAATAACCCAGAGGGTCCCACAATTTCATTACACATGCTAATGCTTTTCTTTTAGAAAATCCTGTTTGCATGAAAGAAATGTCTTTGAATTTTGAACTGAAACTGTCATCAGTTTTATTCCAGGAATGACCAAGTACATCAACAACTTTTTCACCAGGATTTTGATCTACTTCAGGATGGTTTGAGTTCCAAATCTTTATAGAGAATTTTCCACGAATAAGTATTTGATCAACATCATTGATAACCTTGTTTGCAAGAATGTGATTCGAAACAGAATGACTGACGTCATCAATGTATGTATCTTTGTCCAATACAACAGCTCCAAGAGGATGATCTTTTCGAAATTTATCGGCTAAAAATTTAATTGTAAAGCATGCCAAGTCAGGACTAGATTTATCTCCGAACATAACCCGAAGCCATTGAAAGATTGTTGGTTGCAACGATGAATCACCATAGCGCCAAAGGAAACGATGAAATTTCTGATCGACTTCTGCCATTTGAATTTGATTAAACATTTTCGATATATCACCAGCAATAGCCACACTATCAGCTCGCCATGCCATGAAACATCTGAACAAAGAATTCGCAAAGCTGGGGCCTTTCTCTAAACCATCATTGAGACATGTGCCCTTAAAAGGACACGCAGAATCAAATACTATTCTTAATTTTGTTGAGGTTTTATCCGGACGCTCTACGATACGATGATTGAGGTACCATGCATTTTCAACTTTAGCCGTTTTCGTTTCAACCGGTGTTAGTCGTCGTACTACGCCTCGCTGAAGCAGATTTTTAATCTCCATATTATACTCTTCCGTTTTTCCTTTTCTATACAATTCTTGTTCCCGTTTTTTCATTTGTTCATACGCCTTCTCATAATTGTTGTGCAATTTTTCTGGGAAACCAGGTTTCCATGGCATTTTGACACAAACTCGGCCATCAGCACTAATATTGGTTGTCGCTTTTACATGTTTGATAAATGCTGATTCTGCAATTTCTGAGTTAGAACAAACACACAAAGTTGTGGGTTGCACTCCAAGAACTTCACCATGGAAAAACTTGCGCAACTCTTCATTTTCTAATGATGAAAAACTATTAATATTTGCTACATGATTGAAAGATCGTTGCGGTGCTTGAATAATGCCTCCATATAGATAGCATCCAAGAGATGTGAAAGCTGCTGAAGGATGATTATCGGGATCAATTGGCGAACGTAATGAATGCATTGTTTGAATTAAAGGTGCATAATCTCTACCAACAAGAACATCGACTGTTTTTTGCCCAACTGGTATTTTATCCTGAATTCTTCTTAGATATTCAAACTGTTTAAAAATAGATGGCGGAATTGGTGTAACATCGTGACAAGGTTTTCTCACAGCCGTAACTCTGATATCAAATATCTGGTCTCGTGAAAGAGGTCTAATTTTCAAATTATAATCTTCAGAAGGTTCTTCATGAATGGCTCCTCCTGCGACACCAAACCGAATTGTTCCATGACCTATTGCCTTTTGTTTCAATGATTTTACAAAATTACGTCTTACCAAAGAATGGTTACTGCCACCGTCAAGAAAGAAATTTGCCTTGATCCATGTTTTGTCACTCGCCTGCACTTCTGCAACAAGTAATGGAGAATAATCCAAATTAAAAGCGCTCAATTGTCTTGAATGCATCTGAGATTGGTTGAATACTGCTGCATTAGAGTGAATATGTTGACTTTCCAAATTCGAGTCGTTCATACCAGAATTTCTCATTGTATTGTAATTTCCCTGTACTTTTCCGGGACATAATGACCAATGATGCTGTCTTTGGTTACAATTTACACAGCTATCGGCTGTTGTTCTTGCACAATTTCTTGCAAAGTGAGTTCCTAGACATATAAAACATCTTCGATCATCTGCTATAAAGTTTTTTCTTTCAGGAATTGATAGGTTTTGATATTTGTTGCAGTCTATAAGGCGGTGCTGAATTCCACATCCAAAAATACAAGTGACTGTCCTTTGACGTGGCTGAACTGAACCCATGTTATCATTCTCGTCTGTAGCATGATTAACCGTATTGAAATTAGATCTTGGCGACTGGTTTTGTCTCGGTCGAAACCTCATATTCTCGGTTTGACAGATAAAGTTACCAGATATTTCCAACGCTGTAGCTTCAGATCTCAGAAAATTCGTTATAGATTCCAAGTTATGATTACCTTTGCTGGAACTATTATATCGCAGTGCAGTGTCTGCATCTAGACACTCTAATGCTCTATTGACAGAAATAACCGAGTTTGCATCCTGTTTTAACCCAAGATCTTCCATACGTCGGCAGAAGAGAGAAATTTCGTGAGCTAGTCGCCTAAGGTTCGCTGGATTACGAGAGGTCTTATATAAAGGTTTTATTTGCTCGTATTGCTTGATTACTTCACGTTGAACTACTGATTTAGGAATACGCTCTTCCAGGCGTTCCCATGCACTTGAAATTGATTTACAGTCACATATCATTGTTTGATAATCGTTTGGCATTGCACCATTGCGTAAAAGCCATGAAATTTGCACTAAATCATCCGTAATTCTAGCATGGTGCATTATATGTGTAAAACGTTCTTTCCAGGTATAAAAGTCTACTTTTTGTCCGTTCCAGCATGGCGGATCCATACCACATAACTTAATCATAGGAGGATCATTATTATAATTGTTTTGAGTGGTTACAAGAGATGATATCACCGGCTTTATATCTAGTTTGTCTTCATATTTCTCAAAATCGATTGCAATCTTGTTTTCCACACGTAAAATTTCTTCACTAAATTTGGATATAACGGGTTTTTCCTCACTTTGTGTAGTACTGTCTTCTTCAATTAGAGCCAATTCCATAGTATCAATTAGACAGACCAAAAATGCTATTTTATCGTTAGCATCATGAAACAGTATTTTGACCTTTTCAAAATCTCTTCTTTCCAGAGAGTGCTCAAATCGTGTTAAAATTCTTTCCAAATTTACTTTGAGTACCGGAAACTTACTCTTGAGTTGTTTGAAATTCTGACCTTGAAAATATTCTGCCATTGTTAGTTGGCATTCTTGCTTTGATGTATTGCTGAATCCTCGAAAGGTTGAAGAAGAACTGCTTGATTCAGACTCCAGTTTGTAGGTGTAGGTGCAGTATCATTAAATGTCACTAGTTTGGATTTCTGCCCATTGACAAATCACCCTTGCCTACTATGTCTCTTTAACTAATATCCCGAAATGAAACGAATAGATTTCTCCCAAAGTGATTTAATCCAGATATCAGTAAGACAAAGTGACCTGACAAACAATAAAGATGAATATTAAAATGAGTACAGGCAACCAGGCACAATACAAAGCAAGAATATACCAATTCACTTACATTTAAATGAGGCTTTGTCAGAACAGATTATCCCAATGTAAGAAACTTAAGAAATAGAATATTCATACCCAATGACTATAGCACCATTAACAAGCTTATGAGAACAGATCTAAAGACAGACTAAAGCTCTAGACAGTTAACCATAACAAGAAGTAATCAAGTAATCAGCCAATAATCGCGATGCAGTGAACCATACGTAAACACACCAAAAGTAAGTAGTATCAAGATAAATCAGTCAAATGTTCAAACCACCCTTGCCTTGAGCTCCTGAGCATTGTGATAAAAATACAAACAATATTGTGATAAACACTAATAAGTCCGGACAACCCGAAATAAGCAGTGAAGCCTGTGATCAGCCTGTGCCTGAATCTTATTTAGTGTGATTGGAAATTTTAACATTACAACTAAAGCTACAAATTCCTTGTTAGTACCAGCGTTGTTTCCCTGTGAAACCTACAAAAATAAAAGTGTTCGGGAGTACCAATGCCATCCCAGATAACAGTACCGACAGACTTTTTTTCTTCTTCCAAAAATTTCAGTGAATCCTAGGAGATCTGATATTTCATACAAAATTTCGCTATACACTGATTCTCATGGGAACACGATTGTCAATCCGCGAAGCGTGGCGGCTGACGCAATGATACGCTCGGATCTCGTGTCCGTATAGTTGAGCATAGCTCTCTCTTTATTTTTTACAGATTTCTATGGACACTTCGTTTCTGTACAAAATTTTGAATTCGATCATCGCTATTGAAAGTATCAATTTTGACTCCCGACTCCAGGCAGCCTAAAAAATCCGACTCCAGTAGAAGCACAGCCCTTGTGATCCTCTCTGTTCTACTGAACACCACTGGATAAAACAAAGTATTAAAAATTTCATGTATTGACAATTACTTGCAACAACATCAAGTGGAACATTATTCACAAGAAATATGACGTCACCGATGATGACGTCACAACAAGCAAAGAGTAAAAATTGCGCAGGGGTTTATTTGTGAGGTCCAAGGATGTTTTGGGGTCAAAAGTTCAAACGTATCCCAAGTTTGAAACAATCTAGCATTGGCCGAACATGGAAGGTTGGACTATGTTGGTGTAACAGGTCAGGGCGTTTTTTTCTGATAACTTTACATGCGCTCACTAAGAAATGAATAAAACTCATCAAGGTAAAAATCGACCATCACTGAAATGATAATAGCAACTGAAACTATATATAGAATTGTGTTGCCGCACTCACTCAGAAATAAAGAAGACTCATCTATGTGGAAAAAGTAACTGGCAACAGCCTAAATGCCGAGAGTTACTGAAACTATATTTAGTCTTTGTTGGCAAATTATGAGCCAGTGAATAAAAAATGGCGCCAATTTGAATAGAGTTTGGGTTGCAAACCTGTGTTCAATTCACTCAGGGTGTAATACATTTTGTATCAAAACGGAAAAACCGCTTCCTGTGTGTATGCTTGACTGGGGTCCCCACCTCAACAAGCCCAAATAAAAATTATATCCCCACCTTGTGGGGAAAACAATGTCTTTCAAAATACATTGGTTTGAATAAAGTTACAGAAAACTGTGTCGAAAACATAAAAAATAAAAATTTCAAGAAATTCAATAAAAATATAAAAACAAGAGTTAAATCAACTGTACATTTACTGCAGAAAGATGAATTGTTTTTGTATCCAGATAGCGACTGCTTGCGGTACATTCTCAACTGGTAAAATAGGGGACCATGATCCATTGCCGAAATCTAGTTGCAAAAGCATTGCAGCTAATTGAAATCCCAGTGACCAAATGCACAAGTGATGGCAAACGATGTGTGTGCCATGCTCAAGTCTGTTCATGAATGCAATAAATGCTCAAATACTTTAGAAAATTTGCTGTAAACATTATCCATAGTGACTTCATCCTCAAATACTTAAAAACCAACAATAAATTTTTCGAGCATTTCAAACAGGGCGTTTGCGTTTCAAGACAATGGACAAATGTTGAAATTTCGAAATAATCCAAATTAAAAAATTATATAAAAATACTTTTTGATCTGGTTTTTCAAAGTATTTCAGTTGAAGTTAGAGATGTTTAAAAGTCAAAAAGATATGTTGTCCCAAAGAAATTTTTTCCATTTGTGCCCTTATGGATTAAAAAAAAAAGTCTTTTAAAACAACTCCAAGGCAATGAGTACAAACAAAAGAAATATATATTCTAGGACAGCCTTGCAATAGACTGTTCGGGTAAATTTCCAATATTTTAGAGTTTTTGAAAAGCAATTTCCGTCAAAGCAAGATCAAGATTCCTTAAATGAAAGTAAGAAAACCAAGATGGCGCACAACCTGAACTCAGGTTGTGTACCAGGTTATGCGACATCTTGGAGCACATACTTCAGGAGCACCCATTTTCTTGTGGCAATGGCTACATACGGATCTGAAGTAGGAAATATACAAGGACTTGCAGTTCCATACACAACACCGTAGTACATTTATATATCTCATCTAAAGTTTCGGCAACTTCCTGCCCTGTGAGCTCCTATTTTAGAATAGAAAGAAAATTAGGGTGAGCCCTCACAAATGTCGATTTTTATAAAGGTTTTTTGGAAGCAAGGTATAGAGTCGATATTCAAAATTAGAGCAATAATAGTTGAGAGAAACCTATAGATTGTTATATCATAAAGAAGGATGTCGACAGGACAATTATTACATCATAAAACTTAATATTCATTGAATATTCAAACTTTTAAATTCGAGACTAATACAAGAAATCAAAATATATTTAAAAAAAAAGCAAGACGGAACTTTTTCAAATAATAAATTGCTACTAAATTTACTGATTATTTTTAGGTCACTCGCATTTACGCAGAAATAGAAAAAAAATCAGAGTAAGGTTTTGGGAAACACTGAAATTCTCAGAACCATATAAACTCACTCATAAATAAAGAAGACTTGAGCAAAGTTACGGGCACTTGCTCAGAAGCAAAGGAGACTCGTCTCAAAAAAAAGGTTGCGAAAACTCGCTCAGAATTGAATGAAACTCATCTCTTGAGCAAAGTTACCAAAAGCCTATTTTATGCAAAGTAATTAACATGAATTTCTGGCTTTAGTAAGAAATCAATATTTAGGCAGATTGGAAATAACTCTGTTGCTTCATGGCATCCCCCTCATAATCTCAAACAGTTATATATATATTATATGTATAAATCATTATGAAATCACAATAAAAAGAAATGTGACATCATAAATAAATTCAGCTTAATTATAACGTCACAAAAGATGAAACAAGTAAAGCGCAAACGTGACAAAAGACTTTACCAAACATGAAGCGTCAGGTTTTTATTGTGACATCACATCAGCTTTGTGATGTCTTTATAGTCTGACATCATAATCAGAGTTCACAGACTCTTGGACGGCAGCTTGACATAGATATGACTTCATAGTAGTGATGTCATGGTACCATTATGACATCATTTCTTACTGGAGTCCTGGTTTACTTGGAAACTGGATGGGTCGTGTGTTGACAGGAGGTGTGGGGGGATGGGCATGCTGATCATACGACCCGATACATTCATCTGTGCGATCTGATTGGATGCCACCTGCTGGAAAAGAAAGGACTGTTGAAGACACCTCACCAAGACAATGAGTTAGAAATTTATCACTCTATATATAGTTGCAATAGCTGTGGCAGTGTGCAACTCAGAGATGAATCTCTGTTACTAATGGAAGAGTTCACATAACAAAAGTCTTATTCACTTCCGAGAGGTTGCCAACAACTTTGCTCATTTATCCTGGGGAAAGAGATGACATCAGAAGCGTTGGTCATATGGCTGAATAATTATAGTTTAGTTACGAGTTCATATTGAAAATGAGAAAAGTTAATTAGTTTCAGAAATAATTCGAAGAAGAACTTTGTTAACCTTCTAATCACCTGTAGTGCATGTGCGACAGCAGAACTTGAGTGAGGGACCCACATCTCGGATGGGTAGCGCAGCAGAGGGTTAGTGGGTACGACTCCAACAATATCAGGGGCCGACAACCTTGAAGTGCCAGCTTGACCGCTTGGACCTGAAATAAAATATCATTGGTAAAAAATGATTGGCTGAGAAAGTTTGACGTTGCTCGAATGAAACGTTACAAAGCTAAATTTATGAGTCTTTGAAAATCAACTAACATAGTGTTCATGGTCGGTAAGCTTAGATTAGGAACATTACCAACTGGTTGTGTAACAGACACTGAAAGTTTGGGTACTCCTGAAGTATGCGCACCAAGATGTCGCACAACCTGAATCCTAACCTGGTAAACAACCTGAGTTCAGGTTGTGAGCCATCTTAGTTCGCATACTTCAGGAGGTCCAAAGTTTGAAACCCGAGGACCTGTGAATGGGATAGAAATAGGAACTTATGACATCCTGAATTGAATAGAATTCAGATTTACATGAATTTCCTTTATTTAGCTATTTGTTGACTTGAATTGCATCAGCCCATATCTATTGGACATTTCTGGCATTAAATGAACTTGCACATAGGCCAAGCGCATTCTTTTAATTCTGTCATTACTTTCAACTTCAAGTCGAGGGCTTGCAACTTTGTTTCACTTACCCCGTACTTATCATGAATTCACAAGTGATTTAAAAAGCGAGCACGGGGAGATGTATGTGACCCTGATTAAATTACCAACTTGCAATCCGATTTATATAGATGTTTTAGCGAGTTCTTTCGTAGGTTTTGACGAATTTTGCATGTTTGAGGTTGTCTTTCAGTGGTTTTAGGCTGTCTCGTTTTAGCGAGTTTTTGATAGCTTGATGGGTTTGAGCACGTTTTAACAATTTATTCATCTTCTAAATGTTTCATATTTGATGTCCAAATTTTTTTTTTTATAATCACGATTAATAGATTCTACCTAGTCATAGAAGCAATGGACCTGATCATGTTGAGGTCGCAGACTAACCTGGTTGATGTTCCACAGCTTTCTGGCGGTAGAGTCGAACCATATTTTTCTTTTTCCGTTTCTCATTCGGCGTTAGATTAATCACGCTCTCAAGATGCTGTGATTTTCGCTTCAAATCTATTTCATAGCGTTTGTGTTCCGCCAGTTTTCGCTCCAGTTCTGGAAAAGATTTTTGAGTTTTTTAACAGAGGGGAATGCATTACACCATGCCAATCCTGCGTGGGCTGGCTGTTCAAATAATCCAGCAGGGAGAAAATCGAGTACGAAATTTTTCATGAGGCTGCTGGTCCCAGTTGGTTTACCATATAATTTAGACCTCCAGCCTACTTTTCCTTTCCACAAAATAAAAGAATATCAGTGCTTCTGAAGTACTCGTACCAAGATGGCGCACAACCTGAACATAGTATGTGTAACAGGTTAGGGTTGTTTAGGTTGTGCGTCATCTTGTTACAAATACTTCAGGAGTGCCAGAATATCTTTAAAGTTATGGGCACTCACTCAGAAGACTCATCTCTGATCAAAGTTACGGACACTCACTCAGAAGTACAGAAGACGCATCTCTGAACAAAGTTATGGGCACTCACTCAGCAGTACAGAAGACGCATCTCTGATCAAAGTTACGGACACTCACTCAGCAGCGCATGATTGCCACCAGGTATATTCATGTCAAAAATAAATAAAGCACAACCGGTGTATAGCAAAACGATATAATTTGCCGACGTTTTGAATTTCTATTCAGAAAAACTTCATCAGGGCATGATATGAAGAGTACACTATCTCAGCAGTACAGAAGACGCATCTCTGATCAAAGTTATGGGCACTCAGAAGTACAGCAGACGCATCTCTGATCAAAGTTACGGGCACTCACTCAGAAGTACAGCAGACTCATCTCTGATCAAAGTTACGGACACTCACTCAGAAGTACAGAAGACGCATCTCTGATCAAAGTTACGGACACTCACTCAGCAGTACAGAAGACACATCTCTGATCAAAGTTATGGGCACTCACTCAGAAGTACAGCAGACGCATCTCTGATCAAAGTTACGGGCACTCACGCAGAAGTACAGCAGACGCATCTCTGATCAAAGTTATGGGCACTCACTCAGAAGTACAGCAGACTCATCTCTGATCAAAGTTACGGACACTCACTCAGCAGTACAGAAGACGCATCTCTGATCAAAGTTATGGGCACTCAATCAAAAAGGAGACTTAGGACTCACCTTGGATAGCGAGATTTGACTGTTCAGCCTGTCTTTCCACTGTCATTTTATGTGTTGCCATCTTCTGAGCGATTGTAGGAATCAACTCCAGAGCGTTCGCAAGATTTGTCATCATCACAGCGTCTTCCGCTGACACTATCGGAGAGGTTTTTGCTCGGTGTTGTATCGATGAAACCTGGGAGAGAGAGGAATTAAAAAAATGAAAATCAGCAATGGGGGGGAATTGTGTCATCATTAACAAAAACGATAACGATTGTTTTTTTATGCAAAATTTTGTCTATTGAGGTCATCTCCATTAAAAGACTCAATAGGTCTTTATCTCCAGCAAACTCTTAACTAACAGCGGCGGGAGCACAGATAAATAAAAGAGTCGACACAGATACACTGCAAGTCATATGTTCTCACTCACCTGTGAAACAACATCCTGAACAACTTCATCAAATAAGTCAGTTCTGATAATTCCAGACCAGAACGCTTGGAGATCTGAACAAATAGATAGACTAAGTTAAGCGAGCGTAAGGATGGACGGCAAGATCCTGGGTTGCACAACTCGAATGAGGATTTATGGATTTATTATGTTATCGTGGCTGTTAAATTGGATATATTGCACGCTGGAAATTTCATTTTATGAAAGGAACAATTGAGCTTTTGGTAATTCGATTTAGGGGTTTCGATACCAAAAAGTTTGGGAATCACTGCTACAGAGTTAACATGAAAAACACGATACAAACATGTAAATCTACCTTGTATCTTGTCAGCTGTGGCAATGGATTCTCTCATGACCATCCCATCTAGCTGAGGTGAAGGAGCCAATCCTGAGTCTTCTGAACTTGACCGCTCTAACGAACTCATTCCACCTGAATGAAGATTTCAGAATTAAAATCTATGGCTCAGTGGTTAAGGCGTTGATGCAGAGAGTAGGTGATAACTGGTTCAAACCCCTGTGATCACCATCCAACCCATGTGTAATAAACTGAGTAGGCAGGCAATGCTGCAACGGAAATGTCGAGTCTATGCTCATCCAACATATGAGTAATGTAGTGGCTAGTGCACCGCAGCGATTTGCTAAGGGCGCCCAAAAAATTATCAGAATTGTGTTAATCGTAACTAGGTGTTCAGAGCAGCAGCCGCACAACTCTCATTAGATAAATAAATGCAAATGTTATGACGTTATGTTGTTTTGTTGACATTGTATTTATTCCTTAGGCTTAAACTTCAAAAAGCATAAAACATACATTGACGATCACAAAATTGAGTTTCATTCGAAGATATCAATTTTTTTTGTGTAGGTGCAACATGATTTTTTTTCCTGTGATAATTTGGTGCCGAACGAACAAAAAGTTTGGGAACTGCTGGTGTAATGGATTGCCACAGCGGCAAAAATTCGCCAATATTGAAAATAGCAGCTCATTAAATATCAGTGAATGCTCATCTATAGACTTGTTTAAAATGTAGCGTGAAGATGTAGAGAAAACGCTGCCTAAATGCGGATAGACGTATAGAAAAAAAATGGCGCATAACTACCAAATTTCTTAACACAAACTAGGCAGAAAATCAATGAAGTCACTTTAAATGACTTTTTGTTATTGCGAAACACTTTTTCAAACCACAGCGGCATTGTGCATCACCCTGGATAGACTGAACTTCGAAAAAATGTGACTCACCAAAACTTTTCTGGCTTTCCTGTGACAATCTCTGCACAGATAACATAGCTCGTTTCGCGTTCAATAACATCGTATTATCTTCAGAGTTTGATCGTTCCAAGGATGGCCCTTCGTTCATTGAATGCTGTGAATAAAACTTAACCAGTTGTTTAATACGGCCCTTTCATGACAGACAGATGACAATGTTCAAAAGTAAAAATAAAAATTTGGGATTATCGAACATCAGCGGGCTTCAACCCCTAAGGGTGAAAATTGAAAAAGTTGTTTTGAAAACAACGACGAAAAGACTAATTTTTGGTTTTTAATCCCTGTTTTTCATACCGAATTGATGGATTATTTTAAAACTATACTCAACCCCTGCTTCAGGATGACTATATTTGCAGACTCTGGCCTAGGAAAAACGAAAGGCTGTGTGTTTATAGATAGATAATGATTTTACAGATATTGGGGTCGGAGCCGAATTTTCAGTTCCTGGAGACAAGTTGTATAAATGACTTGCAATTTAAATCTTGGCTTTGGTTTGGATTAAGGTTATGCCTTTTCTGTTTTAATGCACCTAATGCAATTCCAGTTTACAATAGCAATTTCGACATTGATTACCAACAATGGAGGCCTGTGGTCTCTCGGCTTAACGAGCCTTTCAACATCTACTTTGTCCATGATGAGTTTGAAAACACGCCGTCGACCCCAAACCACTGACTGTGGCCTCACTCAAAATATAATGCTCTATATAATTTCTATATCAGTGGTTCTCAAACGCCGGCGAATTTTTTAAGGGTGGGGGTTAAGCTAATTAAAAATAAAAATATTCGTTAGATTTGATCTTGCTCGCTTTATTTTGGGTATTTACTTTCCATCCACGAATTTTCAACGTGTATTTAGAATAACTTACTTTCGCCCTACTATCTGTTATTTGTAGCTTATTGTTAGCTAGTTATTTTTAAGATGGGGCGCGATACTTGACAAATTCTGAAAAGGGGACGCGGCCTAAAAAGTTTGGGAACCACGAATTTACATAGATGGAAATCATTCTTTAATAAAACTCCACTCACATCTTTTGTGTCGGCCAGATCAAAAGAATGATTGAAACTCTCTCTACTCGAAGTGGCCTCCAAACTCGCTCCTTTATTGCTTCGACATTGGTTCGAACAATTTGTCTCGTGTTGATAGTAGTCAACGTCACCGCTCTCAATCATTTTTCTAATAATAGATGAAAAATTTTCATGTGCTGATATGTTAGTAGCCAAAATCTTCCAAGTAGCCTAGAAAGCTAGAACGGTTGCCGAGGAGCTATAAGTTGGCGGTGTGGCTCATCGTGCTGAGCGTTAGGAATACGCTCAGCACTGCACCTTTGATTATCTTGCGTGAGTTTGCAGGTTTGAATCCCATGTGCGAGAGGATTGCTGGACTCCTCGCCGCCGTAGGGTGGTTCACGTAACCGCTGGTCGGATACGGCTTCCTCTATCATCAATCCACGCTTCCGAAAACAAATACCTAACAAATCCCATACTCGACATGGACTGGTAACCGGACGAGAGACCTTGGTTCGCCATATGATTAAGCCGCCTTATCGACTTTCCTCGCTCGGGGATAAATATGTAAATCCTTTCCCAACTTTCTGTTGGAGTCAGGACAATAGCTGAGCTCCAGCTCCTAAACACCCAGTTATCATTGCAAATTTACAGTTTCCTACTGTTTTATAAAAAAAAATAGCAAGGGTTGGGTGTAATTCAATTTGGTTGATGTCTCAAGTTAACATGTGTTTATAACTTAACAAATTGTAAAATCAATTCTTAGTATCAGGGTAGTTTGATAGTTTGAATCAAAATGATGATATGAACATAGAAATTAGTTTGTAAGTGACAACCCTCGAAATAGGCATCAATAACTTTACAATGGTAAAGTTTAAGAAAAAATTTTCTGGGCCAAGGTTCGTATTTCCTACCATAGCCTACAAAAACTCACCTTAACATGGTTCCATTAATTCTTATTGCTCGTTTCCAATCCTTCAATGTAGACTTTCCGGCTTCCTGAACAAACTCTTTCGGCGTCATCCATACATTGTGACACTAAACAAACAATTAGAGACAGGGTCATCAAACTAGGAACTGACTCATCAACTCGTAAGCGGCCACAGGCAAATAACACCTTAACTAGATACTATTCGTGACGACTATAGGTTAATTGACTGTGAAATGTTTGATTCTTTGACCACACCCCTTTTTCTACTTTCATTGGGTTTTAGTAGTCAGCACGGCGCATAAAATAACTGATATCTTTTAATGTTAAAAGCAAAACTAAATTCACAAATGTTGAGTCTTGCGGGTCAATATTCAAAAAAGTTTGAGCATCACTGATTTATTGGTTAATGCAAGGTTCCCCAGCCAGAAGGAAATTCCACTCGAGAAAGGAATTTTTTCAATCAATTTAGGCAAGAAATTTAACTTCGTACCACTTTGTACTATTTCTAATATTCTTTACTTATGTATCGTTGTAATACATATTTATGAAGACATTATAAACTATTTGTACAAAAGCTGTGGAGTGCAAGTTGGTTGTTAGTCTAGTTATAATCCATTGATGTTGAAAAACAAATGCCACAAACAAAACAAATAACCATCATGCAATTAATTTAGTCCCAACCTACCAGGACACACTTAGCATTGATGCCAGGACAAATAAATTTCTTCCAATGTAATTCTCCTTTGCTGTTGCCACAAGTTATGGGATAACTGTCTTCCTTCATCAGCAAACTGAAACAAAGATAATAAAAAAGAGTTTTATATTTATCTTGTGGAAAGAGAATGGTGGATAAGACAGCTTTATGCTGTCACATCACAAAGGCATAAACTGAATTGTCTGGTATGGGATTAGTTAGTTATTTGACTTCGGAAAAATGGATTTGATGGTAGAGGAATCAGTAACCAACTGACGGTTGTGAACCACCGTATGATGGGAAAGAACTCCAGGAATCTCTCAAACATAATCAGTAAGTGTGGTAGGCTGAATAGAATTTCCATACTTTTTTTCCCTGGGGAAATGGATTGCGATAAAATGACTTATTCACATTGTGAACCACAGCCTATCGTCTTGTTAACAGTCCATGCTTGGTGTGCGGACAATCAATGCATGGACTCGACGGTGGAGAAAGCCGCAATGACAAATCATAAATTACCCTTAGAATTGCTCAAATTTTGCTACAAATCATTTCTTTCACTCGACCTCGAATGGTGACATTTTCCAAAGCGCCGATGACAAATCTCAATAAGACAGATAGGAAGTAATTTGTCTGAATGTAACGCTGTGATCTCTGATACAAACTGAATCACACACTTTCAAACAGAGAAATCTCACCAAATAAGGATTGCAATCTGGACAACTAGTCGCCATTTTCTTTTGACGATAACTTCCCAAGTCTCGTGCGGATTGGTAGTTACTGATGTGTAAGGAGCTCCAGAAGAATGTGCACCAAGATGGCACACAACCTGAACATAGTATGTGTACCTGGTTATGGTTCAGGTTGTGCGCCATCTTGGTGCACATACTTCGAGAGCGCCATGTGTAATGCACCTCAATAATTCCATTTAGTAACTCTGGACATTCATGATCGCCCATTACTTTGCTCAGATAAGTCTCCTCTACTTCTGAGTATGCATTATGCAACACCATGATATAATTCAGTTTCATTAACTCTTGACATATCATTGGTTATCCAATACCCTGCTCTTTTATTTCTGAGTGGTTGTGTGAGTGAGCAAACTTCATTGCAACTGGATAATAAAATATTGAATTTCAAGATGAACCTTAAACAACTCTCTTGATCCGGGGCTTTATTAGGCAAATGTAATGGAAAATATATATGTAGCTATGAACAGGTTAGGTTAGGGGAATTTGCAACTCTTCCTATCTGTAATGTCCTTACTTCCGATTGCAAGCTAAGTAGCCTACCTTTGAGACAACTTAAAGAGAAACAAGATAGGACAAACTCGCATATTAGCACAAAACAAATAATTTCTTTAAATTTAACCCTTTCAACTCTTGCTAAAGTATTTACCTGTCCTCTCTATTCTGGTTAGGAACATATTGTATTATCGGGTCTGCTACTGGTTCGCCTCTGAAAAAGATGAAACTCATGTTTAGGAAGAATATAGAAAATCAGAATTTATAGTTTTGATCTGTTTCACGAAGCAATTTATGCCCTATTTTTACAGGAGAAAATTCAGCGCTCCAGAAGTATGTGTACCAATATGGAGGTAACTAATTTTGTTCGCCTACTTCAAACAAGTTGTGTGAACGGACTGAAATATATGGGCAGGGCATATATTCACTTAGATAACACAGACAGTCCCAGAACTTGTAATAGAACTAAAATAAGGAAAATCGAAATAGAATTATAGAACTAAAATGGTACACAAAACATTCACATTAAACACTCACCTTTCATTGTAAACCATGAGAGCTCTGACTCCGTGGTCATTGTCTGTTGACATTTGTTGAGATATGGGTGGTTGGGGTGTGTGTGCGGGTGATGGCGGCATCAGGTGTCCATCCTTGCTTACTGGAACTGTACTGACACTGCCCGAGCTAGAAAAAAATGTCCATATTGATATGATCATGCATGGTTCTAAGAAAATTAGAATAAAAAAAATTTAGGGCAACGATTTTGTATTGTTTTTGCATTGTATTCCCTGTAGTGATAATTATATTTATTTTCACCCACTTAGAAGTGAAGGAAACACATTTCTGAGCAAAATTATAGGAACTCACTCAGAAGTAATGAAGACTCATCTCTGAGCAAATTTGCACACACACACACTCACTTTAAAATTGACCATACAGGATTAAAGGCGATGAATAACACACGTTACTATTTACAGAACTTAAATCCTAAGTATCATACATAAATGCTTCGAAAAAATTAGAAAAATGTACGTTATTCCTCTTCCTCTTCTATAACATATTATTTCAGAATGTATTCGAAATAGTAGGCCCCATACCTCTCGTTGATTAGGACAATAGACCTCATCTCATTGCTGCCATCTTGTGATTTCTGTGATATTGGCGATCCAGCCATCATGGGACTCTGAGCGTCTTTATTGATTTGCCCACTGTGATATAAGGTCAATAGATCAGTTGTTATGGTTACTTATCGATCTCGATGAGTATGTTGATTGGCATTTGTTCGTTTGTTTCACTTTCGTATGTTACGCGATATCTCATGAAAGCGAGGTTGAATGTGCATTCATCATATCTCGGACCAGAAGCCTATTCATTTTGGATGAATTAAGTCGTATAATTAGCGAGTTATTAATTAATTGGTGATGGGACACGTGGTGCCACTATTGAGTCAGAGCAAAGGAATCGAAACCGCAGATTGATAAGTCTGCTGTCTCTGATCGCTATCTAGTTTTCAACCTTATTGGTGAAGTGAAATCCCAATCACACATTCCAGAGGCTTGCGTAAGCCCTTGGCATTAGTTCAATTGTATTTTATTGTCTGAATTGGTTAAACTCCGATTAAAAACAAACCTAATACTGGCAAAACAAAATGAACTTTGATACCTTTGGCCCAGCACCAAAATAAGATTGCCGAACCCAAGACTTTAATTGTCAATGTGATAAAAAAAATTGCTGACCTAAGCAGTTCTGACACTTACCCTGGATCTCCAATAATCACAATTTTCTCATTTTCTCCATCGATCATCATAGGATGAGATTCCTGAGAAATAGGAACAAATTGAATTATGGTGGGATTGAAGTCCTTTGAGTTAAAGAGATTTCTCAACTATGTTAGCGTGGGGGTTTGAGATGTCTGTTCTATAAACTCCAAATTTGGAAATCTTTCTGAAAGGCATGAACTGCTTCAAATCTTGCGTCTGCAACTTCTGATTGACAAGCTGGACTCTAACAGCTAGCGGGTCCCGCCAGAGACTGGAAGACCTGGGTTTTCAAGAGTCATGGGGTCTGAAAAGCATTTCAACCTACGAAAAATTGCTATGTATGATACAAAAAAATGTTTTTTTTTAAATCTTAAAAGGGGGGATTCTCACCCCTGCTCGTAGATCTTTAGTTATAAGTAACTGCTTGCACAAAGCCTTCTTCGGAGTGAAAAAAACTACTAAAATTATAAAATCTCACCTGTGGTTTGGGAGAATGAGTCCTGTTGTCATCTGCATTGTGAGGGGTCGGTGGTTTGCGTTCAATATCCATTGATTCGGTGGATTGTAGGGAACTGAAAAGAAATGACAAATGATTAAAACAAATGAAGGATGATTTCTTATATTTATTAGGGAAGAAAAGATGATTAGAAATATTATAGGGAGATCTTGCAAATATATCAAAATATAGTAAGGTTCACAAATTTATTATTGAATATATATCTAGCGCCCGTCGAGGTGTTCTTTGAATGAGATCTATTGTTTTCAAGTTCATGAATATAGGGAAGATGACCGCCAGTTACTATTCCCGTACATATAGGAAAGATTGTTATTGGCATATGGTGCTAAGAATTAGGTATACACATTTCAATGTGCCACGTTACGAATTTACCAACAGAGTATAGATGAAATTAAAAATGTATTAGGATAAAGTCTAGTTGTTCAACTTGAAAATCAGTCAACTATTCCCATACTTGAACATGGACAGGTACCTAGATAAAGGGCCACAGTTTGCCATATGATCAAGCCGTCCTATCGACTTTCCTCCCAAAGCCACCCTCAGGATAAATAAAAATATAAACCAGTCAAATCTCAATCCAAGCCCATGTATCTGGGATCAACTATTCCCATGTGCAGCACCAGGCTGTGATTCGCTACATTATTGAGCTGCCTTATCGGCTTTCCTCTTCCCGGAATGAATAAAAAAAATACCAATGGGAGCGTCTCTAGACCTTAAACAAATAGAACGTAGTGATGTGTTAACGACCGAGCGCAACCTGTGCCTTGGGGCAATTAACCCTCTACCACACTGTACATGAAGGAGAATAAGCAATATCGACCGTACTTTGACACACTGGAAGTGTTAACTGAAAAGCCATGAACAAACAACATGAGCAAACAACATTTGCAATGAAACCATTAATTTGAAGTAAGTTCACCTTAATATTTAATTCATTGAAGGCAACGCATTTATTCCTTTGATATTAGTTTGTTGTGGAATAAGAATAAATGTAAGGAAACCTATGCCTATCAGACATGGTAACCGGACAAAAGGTCATCATTCACCACGTGATTAAACTGTTTTATCCACCTTCCGTTCCCGAGATAAATAAGAAAACCCTCTCCTATCCAAATCAGCGAGGCTTGGGTTAACGCGCCGTGAAATTCTTTCGAGATGAAACAACGCGCGCTGCACACCCACCACCAAGCAAACCGTGACGCAAAAAACGTCATATGCTGTTGCACAAACTATATCCCGACGTTTAATATTAACCTTCTAATCACCGTGGCAAGATTTATCCCATAATTTGAGCGAATAAATCACATTTCGACGCAAGTGGGTCAATCTTCAAATGTCACGACGGTTCTAAACTTGGGAATTGTGACGCACAATGCTGTTTTTTCGGAAGACGATATCACCATTGTATTGTAATAATTAAAATAGGAAATTCCTTCCCGCTAAATAAATTATGAATCTCTCACGATACGTTTTCATATTATCACCAAACAAATAAGCAACCGAAATGGAGCGGATTTAAAATAAATTTAGCTTTCTGGTTAGAGTGGTTAGAGCCCGAAGCTAAATTTACGCAAAATAAGTAAATTTCGACAAAGTTATGGCGGAAACGTGCCAGTTTAATTATGATCTCATGAAATACGCAACCATGCTCGGCCAACAACAATCAACTTTACCGAATGCAATCATCTCGAAATTGCTGACTATATGCTCGGTATTGACCCGCCATTAATTTTCTGCTCTTTGCTTACGTTGGAATAGTATCGCTGGATATTATGTCAGAGAAACTCGCCGAGGAAATATCAGGTCGTTAAACACAGTTATAACGACAACGTGTTATATTATGATGTTTAATGGAATATGTCGCCATGCTTGGTCAAGGATAAATTTACTAACCAATGCGCACGGTTATTTCCCCAACACTAATTTTCCGATTTTCTATCTTTGCTTGAGTTAAAATAAAAGGGTTGATGCACGCTTACTTTAAGATATTTCTGTATTCACGTTAGCGCGCAGCGACACTCTTGAATATCTTGTAATAGGCGTTCCTCTTGCTACAGCATACTTACATTGCACGCATACGGAACCACACGTTTAACACGGCACAGGCCAGAAATTCAGGGTAGCTTCAAACGAAGTTTAAACATGAGACACAAATATCACATTTGACGAACAATATAAGTGAAAAATACGAAGATATTACGCTGTGATATTACATGAATAAAAGTGGAAAAAATGAGATGTAGCCTACAAGCTAGTGAGCAAAACTTTACACAAAAAACCTTTTTTTTTTGGATAAAATCATCTCTAAAATGATTAAATCCATAAATGGTGTGGAACATTATTCCCATAATTTGACAAAAATAAACCCTTCTGAAATAACTAACCAAAAATAAAAGAAAAAATACACAAATATGATAAAGAGGGTTAACATTACTTCGCCGTTGCGTGCGTGGTCTGTCTGACTGAATATGATCTCATAATCAATGAAAAACAAACGTATTGTCACGCAATAGTCGAGCTAATTAGGCGTAACGAGAATCAGTTCAAAGAATTACCAAGAATTATAAATTTGAGTTTCAGAAGCGAACTGCGAACTTGAAGTCGAAATGACATATTTCAACATGTCCGTCGACCCGTTGCCAACAGCACTGAATATACAATGTACTACGCTGTTTTTAGCCAACCAAAAATAATCGCAAATATGAATCCATACATTGCACTGTATTCGGTATTTTCTAGGCTCGAATAAATTTTATTATTACTAACAATAAAATACCTTTTAGGGAAATTAATATACCGGAAACAGGTAACCCGCGAACCGGATATCTAGGCGGATATGACGTGTTTGTAGCCGACCGTAACGTACGGACGCAACTAAACCATTCAAGCGGTAAATACCGTAAACTGTTGTCCCGACAAGGCTCGAATACACGTACATATACATACAGCTAAAGGTCGGCTGCATGGCGAAAATCACCCTGGGTGTAAAGGTAATACGTGCGCCATTTGTAAGGAGCAGAACATAGTTTTGCCGGCGCTCCAGAAGTATGTGTACCAATATGGAGGTAACTAATTTTGTTCACCTATTTTACATCAAGTTGTGTAAAGGGACTGAAACCTATGCGAAGGGAGTATATACTTGGCTAACACAGACAGTCCGAAATACTAGAACTAAAATAAGGAAAATTGAAATAAAATTATGGCCTAACCCTGACTTGGTACACATACTATGGCAGTTTTGGCAACGTTCCGATGGCTGTACAAGCAAACTTCATCTCGACAATGGATAGAAAATGCATCGCGCTGATGAAGTGCGTGTGTATAAAGATACGAAACGTTAACGAAATCTTTGCTTCTTACCACATATTCATGTGGTACCATTTAAATCAGAGGTGTGCAACCATTAATACAAGAAGTACAGATACAAATGGGAGGGCCGCCTTTATTTAACACAGGCTTTCTAGTAGTTGCAGGCACGAAATATTTGGTTGACCTCATTTTTTTAAAGTCCGCCATTCGAAACTTTGACAAACCTGTAGCACTCGCTTCTTACTACATGCCACTACTATTAACCTATACATGTTGTTCATCCTTCACTGGCTACATACAATCCATAACAAATGAAATAAAACCGCCACGAAACCTAATTCTCGAAGAGTTCTATTCTAGTTACGGTATCAAAAATTACTCCGGGAAAAGCTAGGCTAAAATTAGCTGCCAGTACTTTTAAATGACAGGCGGGTTTAATGCTATGAATTTTGAAAATTCAACCACGTTGCAACTCGCGAAAGCACTTTCAAAATAAACATGAAAATTTTCAATGGTAAAGTGTGGAAATTTTTTCCGGGGTCAAGGGTCAGGGAAGTCCTGGTGGAGATGGGGTGTGACATGCGATGGGAACATTGCGGGCTCTTAGTCCGCTAAGATACTATATGAAATGAACACTGATAAAGATCTTATTTCATTTGCAGTAACGAGCGCCCGGTATCAGGTGGGGACACGTATACTGCGGTTTAAACGCCTACGTGGAACTGGAGCATACGGTTCATGAACTCGTATTTAGGAACTAATAGGATAGAATTTCCCAAAGTTTACTTTCTGTAATACGAATAGGGAGAGAATATTTGGATGATTTGTACAAAGTCCCCGCCAATACTTGAAAATAAGAAAATTGATGATTATACAGTTAGCGTATCCATTATCAGATTGCGCTGGGAATTCGAATTTTCAAATCATTCTAACCACAAATGGATAAACACTAATTTGTAATTTTCAAATGTGGCGGGGATGTTTGTTTAAAATCTCACATTTTTCCTTCAGTGGCGAGAGCTTTGTAGAAAATATCCAAACATTCGACTTTAATAGAAATCTGTTACGCTGAAAAGTTATATAATATATGCGCATCTAATGAGACACAAGCGCTTGTTTTGTGCACAAAAACCACCAATACTGAGTAAAATGTAATATGGACATTCGTACCCCCATCCCAACATTAATTGATAAATTTGATCAATTCATGCATCGATCGTAGCGCATTCAAGGCTATTATGGGACGTTCAGACTGGAAACCACTGAATTACGAGATTTTAAAAAATGCAAAGACCCGCAAAATATTTTCTATCGCCTGATGTTAATAATTTGAGACCTAAGTTTGAGAACTCCTTACAAAGTCACAATTTCCCCCGGTTAGAAGCCTCAACTACAACTACAGGACCTAACAAGCTTTCTTTCACAGTTCACATATTTATTTTGTCCAATTACAGCAAGCAGTACAATTTTGGGCGTACATGAGCGAATCTATAAATTGTCCAAATCTTACCGATGGACAGAAAGTTTGTGAAACCCTAGTCTATTCCAGGTTCCCAACCTTTAGGCCCATTTTCATTGCATTAAAACTCTATGGCTTTCTAACTTTTTCAAGCTGGGGAAAAAAAAATTACAGGAAAAACAAAAAAAAATCTTGTCTGCAAAAATCGACACTTTCACTTTCTAATAATTAGGAGAAAATTTCCACCCTGTAACAAAAAAACAGCGTCATCGGTCATCACTCAGTGG